TTAAGGTAGGTGTCGGTGATAGTGGTGGTAAAAATGAAGATAAGTAGAAGAGAAAAGAAAGAGAAAGGTGCTGCAGCAGAGGGGTTAGGTTAGAGAGAGGTGTTTTACAAGGGTAGTTTAGTCATTATGTGATTAGAAGGGCAGTATGGTCATATTGAAGTGGAATAATATGCATATAATTAGTCACGTACTTTTCTAATTTTAGACGGGCTATTAATGGAATGGGGTGATGTGATAGTTTTTTAAAAAGATTAGGGGATAATATGATAGTTTCTTTAATTAAGGGGTCAGATGACTATTTTTAAGAAACAAGAGAGGGATTTTATGATTTTAACCCTATAAAATAATTAAACTTGCCTTGCCACATGCTTATAAATTTCTTTAATTGAAGGATTAGATGACTGTTTTTTAGAAACAAGATGGGGGTTTTATGATTTTAATACTATAAAATAATTAAACTTGCCTTGCCACATGCTTATAAATTTCATGTTGACTCATGATGTTTCATATGCTATATTAAGAAAGTGCAGTGAGATCAAATAAGTAAAATATAGGGGTTAAATCATAAAACTCTCCTCTTATTTTTAAAAACTGCATATAACTCACTCAATTAACAAAAAATTATCGGAATTAACAAAAACTATCATGTTGCTCCCTTTTCGTGACGGAAGTTATTGCAAAATGATAATAATGCCCTTGATAGTATATTATTTTATTAAATTGAATTTGTTGATTTTAAATGACAATTATGCCCTTATTGTGAAACTAATCAACTTGTTCCTAATAGTGGACATTGTTGGATCATGATTATTAGTGGTTTGTTTCTGAATGAACTAATACAAGTTATGATCAAAAGGTGCCTATTAGTGGGTGGAATAGGCCACTGGTGGAAAACTTCCTTATATCTAATTTTGTGTTCTTCTATTTACCTGCGCGAGTAGGAAATAATGAGCACAGTGATGACCATGGTGCACTCGTTCGTACATAGAATGGTTTAATGACCATTTTTGGCCTTGGAGGGGATTCCCTCCTGTGCATGACACCAAATTCCAAAGTCATATCTTACTTTGTTAAAATAATAGACTATTCGAAGGATGTCTTTTGTACATAACACCAAATTCTAGAGTCATGGGAGATTGTATATTATTGTGCTCACTGGTAAAGCTTGCCGATAATGGATCTAGTTTGATCATTCACCAGGTCGTGGTACTCCTTGGTTTGGTCACCGTCACCGTTGTGGTTTTATGCAGGAAGAGCCTTAGACTGGATTTCACCGGGGTGGGTCGAGGTCGCCCGACTAAACTGGGTTTTGCCAAGGAGGGTTTGAGGCCGGTGTCTTCGAACTGAAACAATTTGTTGGATCTTTGTTTGATCGGACCTTCTCGCCATATTAGATGTCGAGACTCTTTGCTAGTTGGGTATATGAAGCTTGGTCAAAATGAGTGCACCTGACAGAAAAAAAACTCGTCGGTATCAATGGAAACTATTAAGTCGAGGTCATTTGAAGCGTCACCATTGGGTGTGAACTTTTCGGTTCAATCATCGATGAAACCTCATGCACGTCCATAGAACTTACTGGACGGGCTTCATCGAAATGGGTCTTGTATCATCGCCAAATTGATTTCTGAAGTTTGGTTGATGCCGTTAGGTGTGAACTTCTTGGTTCTGTCACCGATGAAAGGTCATGCACGTTCGTGGAGCTTACTGGAACGAGCTTCGTCGAAATGGGTTGTGTATCACCGTCGGACCGATCTCTAAAGTTTGGTTGACGTTGTTTATTTAGAGCTCACGTTGGTCACTGCTGAAACACGCCAGAAAACATGGAGTTTGATTGTTGAAGCTCATGTTGTTGTAGAAGATAAATATTTTCTTTTTTTGTGCTATAAGAATTTCTTAAGACTAGGGCATGGGTAATTTAGTCATTAGGTGATTAAAAGGCAGTATGGTTAGATTCAAGTAGAATAATATGCATGTGATTGTCATATGATTTGATCTCGTTAGTTTTAGAAAGGAAACTAACGGGGAGGGGTGACATAATAGATTTTTCAAAACATCAAAGGGAAAACATGATAATTTTTATAGTTGAAGGGGTTAGTTGACAGCTTTTTTTAAAATAAGAGGGGGTATTATTTAACCCCTAAAATATATTAATCTTTTTTTTTATAAATTTAACCACAATGCCAAAACTAGTTCATATGCCGTGCAAGAGCGTGAAAGCTTCGATTTTGAGTTGTCACCAAAGACTATGAAATTCATTCGCCGGAATACTACCAATCGATAGTCGGCTATAGGGTTTTAGTGGCGCGGTTGTAGAGAGTGGGGATGGTGTTGGTGGTGATACAGATGGTGGTGTTAGTGGTGGTTTTGGTAGTGTAGATAATGGTGGTTCATTTTGCCGTTGTGGTATTGGTTGTAGGGCTGTTGATGATGGTTTATTGGCTGAAATACATTCTTCTAAAAAAAAAAAAAAACCTTCTTATCGAACACCATAATCATTCTCATTCATCGGAAAACAGTTTTGATGATTGAAGAAGATTGCATTCCACTATCACACTTCAAGCACTTAGCTGACTCCCACCTTTATTTTAATCTAAAGCTAACTTGATACACTTTTATTTACTAGTCTCAAAACTAGTTAACTTAATACACTTTTATTTACTCATCTCAAAACTAGTTTAGTCATTTTCAACACTTTTTTTTATTTATTTTTAAGTCCCACTGAGTCATGACTATGAGTGTTGTAGACTCCACATCCGAAGTCAGCAATTAAAGCATTTTTCAGAGAATAATATGGAAAGAGGTGAAAGAGAACTTCATAGAGAATCTTTCATTTAATTGAGTTGAGAGAAATGGAAGGGATGAAACTATTATTTTAGGGGAAAGTGCAAAAAACACTCATAAAATATATTTTTTGTAGCACTTTTATTTCTTATTTAAAAAAATGTGCAAAATATACCCATTTCTTTTCACATTGTGCGAAAACAACCCTTAAGTAGAAATATAACATAAATTAGTATTGTAATACACATTTTACCCTTTTACTCTTCCAAAAACGCCCATACTAAACCTTGAACTGGTTCAATCTGAAACTGGTTTAGGATAAGAAAGTACCTGTAACCAAACTCCTTTTTTCTCCTACACCTCTCTTCACAGAGCTTATGTGATGGGCATTGTAGCTGGACTTAGGGTTACCAGACGGCGTGGCTAGAACCTACCAAGTTATCGCCGATCTTCAACGAAGCTTAATAAAGAACGGGGCAAGGTAGCATTACAAGGTCCCCCACTGGTGATGAGGCCACTGTAATGGCTGTTGTAGAACACCAAAAATAATAATAATAATAGAGGTTTTCAGCCAACACAAACCAATAGAAAAACCTCTGCACACATTCAAAACTGGCCAGCATAAATCAACTGGGAAGTCGACTGTTACAAGAACCAATCGCGATTCAGTGGCGATGATTTTCTGTATCTCCAACCAATCATGGTTGGAACAAGGCGTGGCAAAGGGCAGTGGCGGGGGCAAAGAGCAGCGAAGAGGATGATTAAACCAATATATATATATATATATATATATTGTATAGAGAGATAGAGTTTAAACTGTTGTATAGTCTCTTATATTTTTTTCCAAATTAATTCTTCAATATAGTGCAATAATTTCTTCCGCAATTAATTTCTAAGCAAGTTATATGTATATATATAATACCAGTTTACTAATCGAGCTCAAATCAAAAAAGAGGAAGACGAGGAAAGGTTAAGTCGCCAAAACGGATGATTTCAAAAAGGATGCCAATGGTAAGTCGCCTGTGATGACTTCTCCGAAAAGAAGTCCCCATGGTCCTCTAACCCATTCACTGACGATTCTTGTTCTTACAGTGCTCTGTACGTGGATGATGGTGAAGCTTCGCCGGTGGATCTTGATGCGTCGGTGGATATTCCGTTTGTGGAAAAAAAAATTTCTCCTTAGTGTACTGGAGTTGAAGAAGATGGGTTTTGCTACCCTTTTTAGTCATTTCACATCATATTATTATTTTTTATATATTTTATAAAGTGTGTCACTAAGGGCATTTTAGTCTAATTTTATCCTAAATATGTAAGGAAGACCTATTTGCACAAATGTTATAGTTTAAGAGTATTTTTTGCACGAAAAAGGTATAATATACACTATAAACATACTTAAAAGTGTTTTCTGCATTTGACTCTTAATTCTATTATACTTTTAGATGTGTATAATGGTCTACCTAAGTACTATATAAATGTTAATAGTTTTTTAGTTTTTTATATACATTATTTAATGATATATTATACATATTGATTAGTTCATATACAATTTTGAATAATTAATTAATCCGTGTATCCTTCTATATTCATATTTGTTATAAATAATTCTTAATGAATAATAAGTCACATATCTATGGTAGACTTATTTCTATGAAAAAGTGTCCATTCACACATTCTTATTGATATATCATATATCATACATATTGATTAGTTTATATACAATTTTTAATAATTAACTAATACGCTTGTCCTTCTATATTCTTATTTGTTATAAATAATTCTCAATGAATAATAAATCACATATCTACGGTAGACTTTTACATTATTTATTTATTTTATTTTTAGACTAATTTTGTAGGAGAGTGTCCAATCACATTCTTATTATATATATATATTTTTTTAATAATTAATCACATATTTTTCAAAAACATTTTTAACGAATACAAATGCACACTAATTAAGAAATTACCTACTGATAAATTAAAAAATTAAGAGAACACATGCAAGACATACAAATTCCAAAAAAAAAAAAAAAAACAAAAATTTTAAAAACCCAAAGTGGATTCTCCATTTTAGATTTATTTATTTATTTATTTTTGTCAATTCTCCATTTTAGTTGAACTAATACGAAATATTTACCAAAAAAAAAAAAGAAAAAAGAAAAAAGAAAAAGAAAAAATGGAAATAATACGGCATCGTTTATTCTCCCGAAGCATTCTATAGCATCGATGTCTCTCGCTCTGGTTCTTTGCTCCAATGTTATACGAGCTTGGTAGCCTCTTTTAGCAGCAGCTGTGAGAAACTGCGAGCAAGTTAAGCGGTAGAGTGCATATAGCACAGAGAAGGGCACACACATACACGCAGGGAGATAGAAAGAGATAAAGATATATATATAGAGAGAGAGAAAGATATATAAATATATAGAGAGAGAAAGGTTAGGGATTCATTGAGGGAGAAATCTCAGAGAGAGAGAGAGGATGAGTATATGGAACTATGTAGTAACGGCTCACAAACCGACCAACGTGACGCATTCGTGCGTCGGCAATTTCACCGGACCTCAGGAACTCAATCTCATCATTGCGTATGTTTCTCTCTAAACACTCCCCACCAGTTTATTCACTCTCTTAGTGCATATTTATGTATATATGTTTGTGTAGACATATTGATTTCTATCAATTAGGGTTTGCAATCACTGCTCGTTTTCTTTTGCGTTCTTTGGATTATTACATAAGCTTTGGAAGAGAAAAGATTAGGGTTTTCAATCCCTACTAGTTGTGACATTAGAGTTCCTGACTTTGCTTCTTCCTATAAAAAATTGCTCTTCTTGCTTTATCATCACCAAAATATGTGATGTATCTTGTTGTGTTTTTGACTAAGAGAGTTTATCGATTTGTAATTTGTGTTTAGAGCTGGGAATTCTGCATTTCTAGATTAAGTAATTATCCATGTAATGAAGATTTGATTGTTTGTGGCATCAATGTGAAAGAAAGCTATAGAATTGCTCCTCTCCCACGAATTCTGTTATTAATCGAGCCTTGTTCTGTTTCAATGGAAATAGTTTCTGGAAATTTTTTTGCTGAATTTTTTTTTTGCTGAATAAATTTTTTCTTGATCATTTCCTTCATTTCGATGTATGACTTTCCAGCAAAACTTTTTCCTAAGAAAGAGCTAAACAGACATATTGGGTGTATAGAGGAATGTTTCTCCCAAGCCTAAACACACATATAATATTCTGCATTTGACACATAACTAACACACCATTCACGTTGTAAATTTTGTCACATATATTTTGTGTATCCCATTTTCTCCCTACATATATATTTTTTATCTCCATCTTAGTATTTTTCCATCTTTCTGCATTTTCAGGAAATGCACTCGTATCGAGATTCATTTGCTTACTCCTCAGGGTTTGCAGGTACCATAATATTTTTCACTAAGTTCTATTAGTGAATTACTACATTTCTTTTTTCCATTTAGTTACTGTTAAGGTATCACACAAGCTGTGTTCATTTTTTTTTTTTTTTTTTTTTTTTTTGTGTGGGTGTATTAGTTATACCTCTTTAATTGATGGACAGCCTTCAAGTGATTATTATTATTATTTTTTATGTATTGTGGCTTCGTAGCTATTTGCTGTTGCAAATTAATCAGGTAATTGATTTGGTTGATGATGTATTAGTTTTTTGTCAAGTTTTCTATAAAGCAATTTACCAGCTAGGAATAAATTTTCTCCAGATTAGCTATGGTTAAATTGCCTCTAATGTTGCTGTCCAAGCAATAAAAGCTACCCTGGGAGACACAAATGTGGCCTTCCAAGGAAAATAAGATCCCCCCCTCTGCTCGTACCTTATCAAATGATCTCTCCTTGAATCTGCCATGTTTTGAAAATTTCCACCTCAGAGCATCCTTCTTACCTTGCCTCACTTATGGAAGAATCTTATAACAACTCAAATTAATTCCTTAACTGACTCTGCCTTCCAATCCTAAATAGGTCCTCTCTAAACAGGTTATAAAACATAGTTTGTTTGTTTCTGTTTTTTTGGAGGTAAGCAACTCATGCGCACACTCACACACACCAAACTGCCCATGCGGGGCTTGAACTGCTCGTCCCCCTCTGAGGAGGAGCTCTTTCCACCTGGGCCAATGGTCCAGTGGTAGGAAATTTTATATTATTGTTGAACATTTCTTTTTATTTTTATTCTCAATGTACTTTTGAAAGGAGATTATAATAAATTCTAACAAATAAACATTTAAAGTTTATAATTTCTCTTGAAAAATATCGGAAAACAAATAGTTGTGCACCTATCATGTGTATTGTATGGATTGCATTGTGTATCTTAAGTCATGGTTAAGATGCAATCGCATTGTGTATCCTTGTATGACTTTATACTGGATCCGGTAATTAGCATTAGAAGCACTTTTGCTCAGACAATTTATTTTTGAAAATTACTTCTTAATGTACATAAGAGGATAATTGCAGGCTTAGCTTCTTATGTTTTTTATGTATTCAGTGCTTGTCTGAAAGTTGGAGTTCAATTATTCTTACAAAGGTAATCTTCTTTTTTATTCCCATGTAATAACTATGAGTTTGTCTAAATTTATCCCCCCGCAGCCTATGTTGGATGTGCCACTATATGGAAGAATTGCAACACTTGAACTTTTTCGCCCTCATGTGAGTATAGGACTTGAAATTTTAAAATTTTATAAAAGTTCTAAAAATTTATAATATGACTGTCTTCACTTATCAAAAAAAAAAAAAAAAAAAAGAAAAGAAAAATATTACTGTCTTCATATTTCATTTTTTGACTTTATGGACAGGGTGAAGCACAAGATTTTTTGTTCATTGCAACAGAAAGATATAAATTTTGTGTTCTTCAATGGGATGCTGAAGCAGCTGAGGTTATTACAAGGTATAAAAATGGAACAAAAAGCCAAATTTATTTTGTTTGGGGTTGGGTTTTGGATACTTCATTCATAATTCTTATAGTATTTCGTCATTGTTTACTTCCTAGGCTTTCTGTCCAAAATATCACTCATTAAGTATGCATCTTGGTTTTTGTTGGGCTCTATGTTATGTTGTGTACCCTTAAATCTCGACAGCTTTTACTGCAGTAGCGCTAAAGTTACATGCATTCTCATAAGGAAAACTGTATATATTTTTTTCCCTTGGTAAGTTAAAAACTAAAATTCAGTTCGTTTATCAGAATGTATCCGGCAAACAAGTTGCCATTTAAAATTTTGTGGTAGTAAATCAGAATTGTGGAAGATATGTAAAGGCTTTAGTGTGAGTTTGTCCGTTTGTGTTGACTTCTGTGTTTGAATGTTAAATTAGGAACGCAAGTAGGTGTGGTGTCACAGTATAGCTATAACATTTACTCATCCAATATGTTTGTGGCAAGATGATATAAATTCAAACTTTATTGGATGAAATTTAACACGATATTGTGTTGGTAATGATATGGCAATCTGTATATGCTCACATCTTCACGATGAAGGGAGGAGAACCATCCACTCGTCCAAAAGCAAAAGGGGGTTTGAGAGCGTTCCTCTGTCTCGCACATGGAAATGGCTAGCCTATAGGCAACTTTTTGGATAATGTAGTTGATCAGGATTTTGTAGACCAGCTAGCTCAGAACATCCCCTTTTAAGCATGTATATATTCATTGGGGGTGCCGGAATTGAGAAGACATTAATTTTCTTAAACAATAAGGTTTATGAACTGCATATACTGAAGCAAAAGCAAATATTGTTATTAGAGGAGAAATTTTCTTTTGTTGAAGCAGCTCGGATAGGTTCAAGTGGAGGTCTTGATACTGTTGTGTTGATCATCTTTTTCGTGGGTTGGGGCTACTTTGTCAAGTAGGCTTTACTATTTGTAGTTGTACCTTGGTTCCCATTTATGTTGCCTAATGAACTAGTTTGAAGGTGTCTGAGTGGGTTCTTAGGTGTATTAGATGGTTTACTTAGGGTCTCATTTGATTACTGAAGAGTTGGAATATAATTGTTTTTGGCAATGGAGTGAAGATGGAAGGTATTAGTTGCTTACCACTGAAAGTGGTTGAAGGAGTTGATATAGTTGAAATGCTTTTTATACTACAATAAGGGCTATTTTTATTTTTATTTTTTCTTTTGTTAATTTTTAATACTACAATAAGTTGGGAGAGGAGTTTTTGGGAGGAGGCTGGTCTGTATAGCTATTTAAAATGTTAGAATGTGCAATGGTTAAATGAGGGTAAAATTTGAACAGTATTATATACTACATTTTTTTTTAATTTTTTTATATTTAATACTACAATAAGTTGGGAAAGGAGTTTTTTGGGGAGGAGACTGATCTGCATGGCAATTTAAAATGTTAGAAGATTAAATGGTGAAAATTGCTGATTGTGCTGTTCAGAAACTATCTGAAGGGATTACAGTATGCGTGGGCAGAGACCTCCACTTCCAGCTGTCCAATGAAGAGGCTGTAGCTTTATTTAAAGAGCTTCGACTAAGTGTCGGTCTGAAAGGTCTTAATTGCTTGTCTCACACAGAGAATGATAGGACTGACTGTGTTTCAGATTCTGTTTCTTTTTACGAAAATGATAAGGAGCTGGAAGAGGAAGTGCTTGATGATCTGGGTTCTATTCAACATGTATGCTCCAATGAGCTTACACCTTGAGTGGAGAAGAATTCTGAAATCTTACAGGAGACACCACTAGCTATGGTGCGACCCGACAAACAGGGTGTTGATATGGGGAAAGATTGGGTAGTTGACAATATTGGAGTCACTAGTAAGCTTCTGGGAGTCTCTTCACAGCGTAATGATGTCCAGACATTATCTATCCATCATACAATTGTGGAAGGGAGAGAAGTTGCAGTGACTAATGGAGTTATTAACACGAAGCCTTTATCATCTTGGAAAGGAGTACAGGAGATAAAGAATCTCATTTCTGAAGTCAACTACGAAGGCAAAAGAGGAGTGGTGAAGGAAAGGGGAAAAACCAGGAGCAGGAGTCTCAAGAAGGGTGGAGGGGAGATTATTTTATCTGGATTTCAATGAAGCTACGAATCATTTCATGGAATGTTCGTGGTCTTAATGATCCGAACAAGGGAAGGGTGGTGAAGGTAGCTTTAAGGAAGTGGGGTGCCCAGCTGGTTTGCTTGCAAGAAACCAAGTTGGCATCCATTACTGATAGGGAGGTTAAGAGTTTGTGGGGAGGAAGGTTTGTGGAATGGGAGGCTTTGAATGCTATAGGATCTTCGGGTGGGATATTAGTTATGTGGGATAGTAGATGGTTAACTCGAACGGATGTATGAATGGGAAGATTCTCTTTATCTTGCATGTTTAAGATGGAAGAGGACAACTTCAAGTGGGTTTTTACCGGAGTCTATGGACCGGTTGTTGATGATGTTCGACCTATCTTTTGGGAGGAGCTTCGCCATGTCTAAGGACTATGGTCTTTCCCTTGGTGCCTGGGAGGGGATTTCAATGCTGTTAGATCCCCGTCAGAGAGGTCTACAGGGGGAAGAAGATCTATGGAAATGGATCAATTTTCTGATTTTATTGATGAGCATCTTCTTGTTGATTTACCAATGGAAGGAGCAGCTTATACTTGGTCCAATGGTAGGGATCCAGTAACTCTATCAAGGCTGGACAGATTTTTAATTTCTGGGGATTGGGAAGAGAAGTTCCCGGATGTTGTTCAAGCGGTGTTAGAAAGGGTCACTTCCGACCATGTGCCTTAGGTTTTGGATTGCGGGGGTTTATGCTCTCAAAGATCCCCGTTTAGATTCGAGAATATGTGGTTGCGTGCGGATGATTTCCAAGGAAAAGTCAGTTCTTGGTGGGAAGGAGTCACTTCTTCAGGCTCGCCCAGTTTCACAATTGCAAAGAAGTTAAGGGCTCTCAAATTAGCTCTTAAGCAGTGGAACAAGGATGTCTTCGGGAATTTGGAATGGAGGAAGAATAGAGTACTTGCTGAATTTTCAGAGATTGATCATCTTGAGGAGGCCGGAAGGGATATGGAATCTCTTCGTTCCAGGAGAGTCTCTTGTCAGGCGGTATTTGCTAAGATTGCTAGTATGGAGGAGATCTCGTGGCGACAAAAATCCCGGGCTCTTTGGTTAAACGAAGGTGATCGGAACACAAAATTCTTCCATCGCTTAGCTAACGCTTATAGGAGGAGTAATCATATTGGAAGAATTCGGGTGGATGGTGAGCAACTGTGGAGAGAGGAAGAGGCGCGTAACGGTATTGCTTCCTTTTATCAGAAGCTTTACACAGAGCCTTTAAATTGGAGGCCCAAACTTGATGGTCTCCATTTTGAGGCTATTTCTGAGCTTGATAGAGATAGGATTGAGAATCCTTTCACTGAAGAAGAAGTTCTTAAAGCTCTCTCAAGCTGTAATGGGGACAAAGCTCCGGGACCTGATAGCTTCACTATGCGATTTCTGATGGAAAGTTGGGCGGTTGTAAGAAATGAGGGAGGTGCTTCAGATATAAAGGATTTTCATCCTGTTAGTTTGGTGGGCTGCATTTACAAACTCATTGCTAAGGTGCTCGCTTTAAGGATGAAGGAAGTTATGGATGGAATTATTTTGGATTCCCAGAACGCTTTCGTTGGCGGACGACAAATTCTTGATTCAGTTCTTATTGCTAGCGAATGTGTGGATTCCAGATTGCGGAGTGGTATTCCTGGAGTTCTATACAAACTTGACATTGAGAAAGCATATGATCATGTGAATTGGAATTTCCTACTCTATTTGTTACAAAGAATGGGGTTTGGAAGTAAATGGAGGAAATGGATTGAGACCTGTCTTTCGTCTGTCAAGTTTTCAATTCTTGTGAATGGCTCTCCCGCTGGTTTCTTTGGTTGCTTTAGAGGTATAAGACAAGGTGATCCTTTGTCATCTTTCCTTTTTCTTGTTGTTATGGAGGGGTTAAGTAGACTGATGCATAGGGCAGAGGACCTTGGTTTTGTTAAGGGTTTTAGAGTGGGTAGAGATTTAGACCATCAGATGGAGATTTCCCATTTACTCTTTGCAGATGACACCCTGGTTTTCTTTGATGCTGATGTGTCTCAACTTCGACACTTGAGGTGTGTTCTGACTTGTTTTCAGGCAGTTTCCGGGCTAAAGGTCAATGTGACAAAGAGTGTGCTTGTCCCAATAGGGAATGTTCCGGATATTTCCTCTTTAGCCGCAGTCCTTGGATGCAGAGTGAGCTCATTCCCTATTCCTTATTTGGGTTTGCCCCTAGGGGTCTCTTCTAGTTTAGTGGGGAGTTGGGATTCTGTAATTGACAGCTACGCGAAGAGATTAGCAGGTTGGAAGAAGCAATACTTGTCAAAAGGGGGTAAAGTTACTCTTATAAAGAGCACCTTGTCGAGCCTTCCCACTTATTTTCTCTCTATGTTCCAAATCCCTTGTTCCATTGCAGACAGGATTGAAAAAATTCAAAGGGATTTCCTTTGGGGTGGTAAGGGCGATGAGTTCAAGTACCACCTTGTCAAATGGGAGGATGTTTGTAAGCCTGTGAAATTGGGTGGACTTGGTATAAGACGTTTAGTTCCTTTCAATCAAGCTCTCTTGGGTAAGTGGTTATGGAGATTTGGGAGGGAAAGACATCGACCATGGCGCAGGCTAGTCTCTTGTCGGTTTGGCGAAGAGGCTGGAGGTTGATCTACGCATCTGGTTACCCTAGCGGGAGGAGTAGGGATGTGGAAGGCTATTCGGAAAGGATGGGATGTTTTTTCGGCCATATCAGATTCAAACTCCATGACGGACGTTGCATTCGGTTTTGGGAAGATCTCTGGTGTGGGGATCAGTCACTTTCTCGTACTTTTCCAAGATTATATAGTATTGCCGTTAATAAACACGCCTACATAGTCGACTGCTATCGGCTTGATAGCAGCGGGATTATATGGGATGTGCATTTTCGGCGCTCTTTTCAGGATTGGGAGATGGACGAGGTATGTGTTTTTTTGGATCTTCTGTATCGACAGGAGGGCGTTGGCAGAGGTAATGATGTTTTAAGTTGGGTTCCCTCTTCTCATGGTCGTTTCGAAGTTAGATCTTTGTTCTTATGTTTGTTAAATTTTGTTAATCGAGACTTCCCGTAGAAAACTATTTGGCGGTCTATGGCTCCAACTAGGGTGGCTTTCTTTGTTTGGACTGCTGTGTGGGGAAAGATTCTGACAATTGATAATTTGAGAAAAAGGGGCAATTGTATAGTTAATCGCTGTTGTCTATGCAAGGATGGCGAGGAGTCCGTTAACCACCTCCTTTTGCATTGCCCTGTGGCGATTGACTGTTGGAATCTTATTGTTGGATTGTTTGGCATGTGTTGGGTTATGCCATGATCTACTAAGGAATTGATTCATATTTGGAGAGGTTGTCGAGTGAGAAGAGACGCTCGCGAGTTCTGGAGAATTGTACCACATTGCGTATGGTGGTGCATTTGGAAGGAGAGAAACAACAGAATGTTTGAAGGAAAAGAGTCGCCTACGAAAACGGTCAAACTTTACATTCTTCGTTCTCTCTTCAATTATGTGAAGAGGAGCTTTTGTTCTTCTTCATATGATTTAATTACTTTTCTGGATTCTTTGGGACCTTAGCTCCGGTTCCACTTTTGTAATTGGGACGCGTTATCCTTTTGAACGCCTTTTTAAATATTATTTTTACTTATCAAAAAAAAAAAGAAAAAAAGAACAAAAAAAAAAAATGAAAATTTGAACACTATTATATATGAGAACCGAGAGAGAGCAGGTCAGCATTTTGCTTAGTATTTTTTGTGATGGTAGTTCTGCTTAAAATGGAATTTTAATGTTCTGGGTGACATCAAGAGGGCATGTGGGAATACCGCAATAGGTGCAGATTTCTAACATCATGATATTTTTGAACATGTTTATCAATCCATTGGTTTGAATAACATGATTATAATTTATTTATGATTTCTTAGACGAATATTATTACATTCTTGCATTGTTTGAACTTAAGATTCTCTCATGTAGAGCAATGGGGGATGTCTCAGATCGTATTGGTCGTCCCACAGACAATGGCCAGGTATTTATTTCTTGTCTTCTCAAGTATTCTTTTTGAAATATGTTTATATTGTCATACATTGAACTAGTCTTAAATTTAGTTTAGTAAAAAATCAGCAAAGTTCAGTCTCCTTTTTCATCTCACGATGTCTATTTTCCCTTCCTTTTTAGATTGGCATAATTGATCCTGATTGCAGATTAATTGGACTCCATTTATATGATGGATTATTTAAGGTATATGATCTTGATACAACTCGAATCTACCTTTACCAATCTGCCCTTTTTTGTTGCTTTCTGAGTTTAGTTACTGGAATCTCATGACTATTACATTTTCAATATCTTTTAAGTTATTTAGAGTAACCACGAAGTCTTTCATTTTTGCATCAGGTTATTCCGTTTGATAATAAAGGTCAGCTCAAGGAAGCATTCAATATTAGGTATCAGTCTCTATCTAAATTACTTATTCAATAACAGATTAGGGTGAATGATATTGGCCCAACGGGAATTCCTATGACTTTATGTTTTTGAATGAATGAAGAAGTGGTATGTTTTTGAATGAATGAAGAAGTGGCATACATGAATTTTCTATGTCCTGGAAAATGTATGATTCTTTCATATGTTGCATTGAGTGTTATGTTCTGCTACTTAAATTTCTTTTTTGAGTGCAAGTAATTTCTTTAGTCCTGCAGTTAGCCAGATTTATTCATTGACCATGGCTTAAATGTTGGATGGCATTTGCGAAGGGCTTTCTTGATGTTATTTTAAATAGGTTTAATTGCAATTGGAGTTTCATGAACAAGTTCAGTAATTAGTTACAGGCACACCCCCCTCTTCCCCCATCCTCCCACCAATTTTTTTTTTTTTAAATGGGGTCCACTGTCTGACGCCTGTCCCTCACTATTTTGTCTTGAGATTTTAGTTGCTTAAGTTACTGCCAGCAACTTTTGAAATGTAATGCACATCATTCTGCATCTTACATAAACTTAAGAAAGTGACACCCGGTCCCTGAGTGAGGTTAACCTTAAGTATAGGTAGATGCTAAGCTTGACATTTGGCGCATGATACCTACCACCCCCTGCCGTTATCTAGATGTTATGTCTTACCTTTGAAACCGCGGGAAATTACTTATGTGTACTCTTTGATCTTGTGAAAAGATCTGTTTGACACGTGAATTGACAAATTTACGTCCATGAGGTGTTTTTACATGGACATAAGTATTTAGTACACTTTTGCTTTGTAACAATGCAATTACACTTACATAAAATGGTCATTTGTAGCATAGATAAAATTCATTTAATTATTTTATCAAAGGAATAACAATACCCTTAGTTTAAAATTATTTTTCATGTAAATCTGAATGTGCAAACCTACCAATTTCAAAGTTACACTTAATTTTCTGAATTTTACAAAATCAATTTCCATATCAATAGATTTGAACCCTTCATTTAAAATTTTGACTTTAATTATGTTTGGATTAAATTTGTGAATTTTCAACTTACAAATATTGATATGATTTTCCAAATTTTGCAAAATTATGATTTTTTTTTTTTTTTTATATTAAATTTCCATTTTTTCAATTTAAAAAGGTTGTCAATTTTTAAATGCAAATTTTTACAATTTTGCAAAATTCAAATCTTTTACGGTGTTTATAAACCCATTATGTCCACCTTTCATCTGTACCAAATATCACTAATGTATACTTGTATATTAATCTTCAAACCATTCCTTTGTATCTTCCTTTCATATCCGTCACCAAGATTCATATCCATTGCCAATAAATAAAAGGTTGGACTAGGGAGTCAAGAGACCTATAAAAGAAAAGGACCTATAAAACAAAAGATTATTTTTGTATTTGGGCATGTTGGAGAAGATATACACACACCCAAATCCTCTTCAACCAGGGGCGGAGCCAGGAATTTGTTTGAGGGGGGCACATATTAATTTATTAACACATGATAAAATAAATTTTAAGAACAAAGCTTTTAATTAAAAAAAAAGGGAAGAAAAAAAATGTGAACTTTGAAGGGAATAAAATTAGGGTTTGATTGAAGAAAGGAAATGTAAATTTCTGTGAAGAGAATCAAAAAGATTTTGAAGAAGAGTAAGAAGGAACAGAAAGAAAGAATTAGAGATATTTTTTCAAAAAATTATTTTAGGGGAGGCATTTTGTGTAATTTTATAAACTAGATGTATAAAATGTATATATAAAAAAAATTGATGGGCCAGCTGCCCCCCAGGCTCATGCTGGCTCCATCCTTGTCTTCAACTACTTCCAAAATTCACTAAATACATATATATGTATGTATTATGTATATCTGTTGGATTAGACAGAAGCTAGTGAGAGAGGTGGCAGTGGCGGCGGTTATGCTTAGTGGTGGCATCTGGTGAGAGAGAGAGAGAGAGAGAGAGAGAGAGATTACATTGGAAATTACATGTCTGACCTCTGACGGTATTGCACTGTTTTGCCTTGTTGACTGTTGGTATGAGGTTGAGATCCAGCAAAACTCAAGTTTTCTTAGTCTTAAGATAAGGTAGGTCTATCACAAAGGCAGAGTGATCCTTACAAGCTTTGATGAAAGGTAGAGCAATCTTTGTTTGAGTGCAGTACTTATTCATTGAAAATGTTGAGATCTTTGGTAATGGGAAGTCCTACATCTATAGAATTTAATGAGGAATTTAAGCTGCCGAACATAACAACTTTCATATGCCTTCTTTTGGGCATCAGTCATATATTCTATAGTTTGCAATCTGGCTATGAGAGATGTTAAACATGGCTGGCTTTGTGGAATTCTTTTGATAATTTCATACTCCCATCAAGACTATATTGACTGGTTGGTTGGCAATCCTTGGTGCTTTGACTTTGGTGAATTATCAAAACAACTAATATCATTCTACCTCCCAAAAACGGTGATGATAGTGGCACTTCCCCTTTCTCAAGTTTGTGGTGAAAATATTAGACTTTGAAAGAGGGGGACATTCTGTGGGGGAGGAAACAGGGATTGGCTGAATACCGTCTAGTGGATTATGGTAAAATTTGAGGTAGGCAGTGGATTTGGTGCTTCTGCACTTTATGCCATTGGGATTGGCGGCTAGCTGGCAACAGAAAAGGTGGTGGCTATGGGTCTTTCTAGGGGAACATGGCAAGTGGAGGATGATAATTTCATACTCATGTTAAAGAGTGATTTGTTTGCTGAATGATGTTCTCTTAAGATGCAAAGCTTTTGCACAGGATGCACGTTTGCAGTTACAACTTTCGTGGTTGGTGGAGGGGATACAGAGAATGCATTTTCAGTAATTTTATTATATGAGTTAGCATGTGTGGATAGAGAGGATCAACACTAAGGGACTTTAGTTTCTTGCTAGGATTTGGCAACTTTTGTCAAAAACATAGTTTCACAACAACTTTGTGAATGGAAGTTGGTGTTAACTGCAAACTTCCTCACTCTTCAATATAATTTCACACGAGGGAGAGAACAATAGAAGTAGGCCTTGGTCGGTATTTGCAAGGCGTTTTCTTCTCTAGAATCATGTATTTGGAACTGTGTTCTGTATAGAACCGTTTCCTGATGGAAAATGGCATATGGACAATACCTTTACTGTTGATAATATTCCTTGATATGAATTATCAAAAAGAAAAAAGAAGGTTATATTCCTGAAAAATGAGTATCAGTAACCAACTTGTTGTATCTGTTGGAGGCGGAAGGCGTATCAACCCATCTTTCTGTTTGCTTGTATTATTTGGGTGGTTTTAGTATTGAGTAGAATGGGACCCAAATGTTTCCTAAACCAGCTTTATTTCTGGACAATTGAGCCAATTCTGGTTATAGCTTGAAATTTTGTTGAATATTATATTTCATTTTTTGGAGTGTCTGAGGAGCAGAGGCAGCTCTTTCTAGTAAAGGGATTTAGTATTCCACAGGTATCTAGTTTTAGATATCTAATTTATGTCTCCTATCAGGTTGTCTTTTGAACTTGGACACTTCTTTTCTGTTAAAATGTAGTTTTTTCGTCTCTCTTTCTTTCATGTTACTTAACTTGTTTGTCATTTCTTAATACAATTTTATTTTTCTCACAAATTAGGGCAACAAACTTTACTACTCTTTGCGTCCCAAAATAAGTGTTCCTCTTTCGATTTTGGGATGTCCCGAAACAAATATTCCTTTTGATGTACAAAAATTGAAATATGGACAATTATTCTGGAACGTGGGGAGTATAAGACAATTATATTCTTAATTAGAGAACTACTCAAAATTAAAATAATCAGTTGAACGAGAACAGCTCTACGACTATGATAGTCCACAAACTTGATTGAGGAATTTGATATACTGATAGTCATCCATTTGGTTTTCTATGTGCTTTTGCTTGGCAGATATTTTGATTTCCAAATCATGTTTGTACTTTGTTATGCCCAAATAAGTTGTTTTTCTTGCCTTAGTATGCCCTTATGTTGGTTTGGCCTTTTAAGTTCCACTCTAACTAAATATATTAACTGCAACCTTTTTTCAGGCTTGAGGAACTCCAAGTTTTGGATATCAAATTTCTCTATGGTTGCCCAAAACCTACAATTGTTGTTCTTTACCAGGTTCAAGAATTTCCGTTACATCTTTATTTTGTTCATCAGTTCCAATTCTGTGCATCCTCTAATAATATTGAATGCTTATTGTGTTGTTTCCTTGTTTTCTTTCCCCCGTTTTAAGGTGATTGTTAATGTTGCCTTTAAATGTTGAGATTCAGTTGTCCTCAAATTTAGACCCTTCAAAGTTTTATGTTGATCTGCCAAATGATGGAATACACTTGCCTTCTTGTGCAATGTGCTTGCTGTTCCTACTCTTCTAATGGTTTATTAATGAATTACATGTTGTTATAATGGTTATGGTTTGTGTGTGTGTGTGTGTGTGTTTTCTGTGTTGTAACAGGTGCTTTTAGTCAAATATCTTAGCCTGATCGCATTTTCATTTTCTTGATTTATAGGATAACAAGGATGCCCGTCATGTCAAAACGTATGAGGTTGCTTTGAAGGATAAAGATTTTGTTGAGGGTCCATGGTCACAGAATAATCTTGATAATGGGGCTGATTTGCTAATACCAGTTCCCCCACCTCTTTGTGGGGTTCTTATCATTGGAGAAGAAACAATTGTGTATTGCAGTGCATCTGCATTCAAAGCAATTCCGATTAGACCTGTAGACCACTTAAGCTGCTGCTGATTTTATTTGGTTTTCAATCATTTATTTTTTCTTAAGAGTTACGTGTTTTGTGGGTAAATTATAATTTCTTCTATTTGTTTCATTGCACTTTTAGTCAATCACAAGAGCCTATGGAAGGGTTGATGCTGATGGTTCTAGGTACTTACTCGGAGATCATGCCGGGCTCCTTCACTTACTTGTTATAACCCATGAGAAAGAAAAGTGAGTTATAATTCTTGTATTCAATTTATGTAATTGAATATCCAACTAAGTTCTATAGGAAATGTGTATTACTGAATTCTTCTGAAGAATTTGTGTTTTATATGTATTTTTTAGGGTTACTGGACTTAAAATTGAGCTCTTGGGGGAAACTTCGATTGCTTCTACAATATCATATCTTGATAATGCCTTTGTCTATGTTGGCTCAAGTTATGGAGATTCACAGGTGTGTAAAGGATTAGCATCTTATGTTGATGCTTATGCAGTAAACACTCGCACAAAAAAAATTATGCACTATTACCTTGATGCCTATTATTATATATGCCAGAAGGCCCAGAACTGAAATCCTATATAGTCGAGCACTGATAGAAGATATAACAAACAAATACACAATTTTTTATTTAAAATCGAAAATGTATGATAACATAGAACTTATAATGATCCTTCAGAATCTTCTGTTGAAAGAATTTGCAAAACTGATGGCTAAAACCTACCTAATTTGCCTAGAGGAATGCAGCAGTTTGAAAGAAGAAGAGGAAGAAATAGAAAAGAATGGTTAAATTGGCACTGGTTAAATTGGCCAGAATCAATTTGTAAAATGCTTTTCTTATGCAAATTATGGCCATGCAAATTCTATTTTTCTTTTCTTCTCTTGTTTTTTTAGGGGAAGTTTGCATCCCCACAGCCAAGGTTAATGTGTCTGTAAGAAAGTGATATATTTCTGCAAATAATCGTTTTTTATGGAAGTAAAATTGACGAAGTGTATGATTAGACATGAAACTTGAAGAAAAGGACCATGTCGTTTCTTGCAGCATTTTGCCTTTACTATTGGCCTGCCTTTAGCTTAAGGCCATTTTTAGTATCTATGGCGTGAGTGAATGCAGGGTCTAAGTGTCATATTTTATTTATAACTGTGATGTTTTGGCCGGAAATTTGTTTCGGCACAGGTCACTTTGCGACCCGGTTTTGACCCCAAAAATGGGTGTAGTGTGGGCCTTTGATTTGTTTTTCTTTTGCAGCTCATGGACCTGGTTCTAGAATTCTCCTGTTGCCCAGTATATAAGGGCATTTGGGGTTTTGGGGTGTGTCATGAGAGAACACTGAAAACTGCAAGAAAGAGAGTGAGATAGACAGCTAGGGTTTGGGGGTTGAAACTAGTAACCTACTGATTTTTGCATAGTGAAATTTTTCGCTAGATATTCACTGTGGACGTAGGCTTACGCCTGTGGGTTTGTCGTAACAATAACCATAAAAAGAAATTACGCCTGTGGGTTTGTCGTAACAATAACCATAAAAAGAAATTACTGGAGCGAATCTCACGAGTCATATCTCAAAGATTTGTAGTTCTGGAATCCCAATTAATACTTCCACATATAAAAATCTAAGCAAGTGGTAATCTAATTATTTATATTAAAAACTTATTGAATAGTTTGTGAAGTACAATATTTAAATGTTTTTTCATCCATTATTTTACTGTTATCTAGGGTCCATATCTTTTCAAGGTCATAGAGAAACACATCTTTCCTTACAAACATTAACTATCTCCTCAAGTCGCCTTGTGAGTATTACTTGAACACCTTTAACTTGAAAGCATCACTCATTATTAGTGCAGTTATTGGTGTTCGTTGCACATGCCGTTGGGCAGCAACTTTGTAGATGGGTTCAATAACATTTTGTTGAGCACAATGGATTTAAAAATTTCGAAATCATTTTTGGAGGGTGGAAGATTTTAGTGTTTCGACTTTGGACTAGTAAATGGTAGTCCAGAAACTGAACAAATATTTACTTTCAGAGCTTTGGTATGCCAGCCCTCTAACAAATATTGTTGTAGATAGTAGCTACTTATTTCACATGTTGGTGTAATTGTAATAGAGACTGTTAATTCTGTCTTTAATCATTTTATTTTAACAATTCTGTATTCTTCTGAGCAAAAATCTTATTAATGTAACAAATTTGCTAAGTTTCGTTATATAATTGTCATTCCTAGTGTAAAAAGTTTCCAAGCAAAAATCTATGGTATACGGGATAGTTACCCTAACAATTGCATTATTGGACAATGGCTAGCACAGCGCCTATGTCTCATATTTTTTGGGACACTGATCATCCTTTATTATTTACCTTAACATGTGTAGATTTAGAATTAGAAAGGTTTCCACCTTTTTTGTTTCCTAATTTCATTATTGTTATACCGTCAATGGTATGGTTCCGTGCATGCATACGTCTACTTAAATAAGGTAAGTATATTTTTTAAATACAGTGAATTTACATTTACATCTGGATCAGGTGTCTGGATTTGAGTTGTGGATTTTGAGGCATTTAATTGATCATTTGATACAAGTTATAACCATTATATCTAAAAGTTCCGTGTGTTAATTATATGCAGTGTGTTTTTTTGGGGTTGAGTTATACATAGTGCACCACCATGGGCTTAGCTCAAGTGGTGTCTCATCCGTCTCCCAAATAAAAGGACGATTTGAAGAGGAATGGAGTATTCTAGAAATTTTTTTTGTGGAGTATTTTGAGGAGGAATTGAGTATTCTAGAACATTGGAGAGTTTGTAAAAGTTGGTAGATTGAAGAAGATTCTTGAAGAATAAAAAGTTTTGTAGAGATGGTAAATATCTAAGATATTTAGGTGGAGAGTTACCAAGTGGCCCAGCGATACCCACTCTTACTCACCAAAGGGGAGGTCTAGAGTCCAAGCCTCAGTGGAGGCGCTTGGGTGTATGTGTGGTTGTTACTAGCCTTTCCCAAAAAAAATAAAAAATAAAAAATAAATTAGGTGGAGAGTTTTAGAGAGTAGATCTTAACCATTATAGTAATAGATCCTAGCTATGCACTTGAGAGGAGAATACTTGGAGAATACTTATATATAGAGTGAGAGTTTCATTTGAAACATGAAGAGTATAATAAGTCACTTAATAAAATGACTTAAGTGTGTGCATAAAGCAAGGAAGCAATAGTATTTTATAAAAAATTGAATGTGTATGAGTGACTTACCTACCCCCCCCAAAAAAAAAAAGGTCTTATGCAGTATATTTTACTTGACAAAAGAAGATAATTTTGTCTACACTATATTTTGGATATCACAATGATGTAATGTGCACAAAGATTGTATGCAATGTATTTTACTTGTTAAAAAATAGATAACTTTGTGTGCACTATTTTTTGGACTATCACATTGATGTAACCTGTTAGACTACCACATGGATTGAAGCTGCACTAACTTTAGCTTTCCACATGTGACATATTCATGCTTAAGTTTATACTTACGAGTACTAACAAAGTAACATATACAATGTAGCTAAATACTTGTTGTCATGTGTGTACATGTTCATTAAACAGCCCTCCTAAGACTAATTGGCATCATTAGATTATGATGTTACTTGCTTTCTGTTTAATTTTATGGTCAAGTCATGTACAAATAAAGGCAATGATGATGAGATTCTGATGTTACATGCTTTCGGATTAATTTTTAAAGTTAATAATCAATTCATCCAGGGGCTGACCCAATAGAATTTTTGAAAAGTAGATCAAAGAAGTTTTCAATGATAAAATGCTTTAGCATTGGTGTTACTGGCACGAGACCATGCCTCAGAGTAGCGACTTTATGAAGTACCAAAATTAGGTCCATCTCAAGTCCTTCTTAGGAATCTGCCAGGAAGGGTTCAAAACTAAGTAATATTCTTCTCTAGATCTAGGAAGATTGTTTATAATTAAAAGTATTTCATGGATCACTGAGTTCATAAATGATATGAAGAATAGGGATAATGATATATTTTGGAAAATTTGACATTTCCTTCAAATTGTGGAGTTCCATAAATAGGACATAAAAGAACTCAAATTGAGTCTCTTTATAATTTTTTTGGGGGATGCGTGTTAATTCTTTCTAATATTTTGAAACTCACTATTTAGCGGAATATATATTATAGGATTTTGCAATATTTATTTATTTATTTTGGGGTGGAGGATTCTCCATTTAGTTCTGCCCTGGGGTCACCTGTGATATGTAACTAACTTCACTTTGTGGCGCCTTTACAGCTCATAAAGCTAAATCTCCATCCTGATACAAAAGGTTCTTATGTAGAAGTGCTAGAGAGGTATGTCAACTTGGGGCCAATTATCGACTTCTGTGTGGTTGACCTAGAAAGGCAAGGTCAAGGTCAGGTTGTAACTTGCTCCGGAGCCTACAAGGATGGTTCTCTTCGCATAGTTCGGAATGGAATTGGAATCAACGAACAGGTCTGGCTTATTTAAATCAAATTGGTTTTTCTTAAACAATTTGCCTTCCTTTCCCACGTTTTCTCTGTTTGTGTTAAACTCAAAATAAATGCCTCTTTGTAGGCATCAGTTGAGCTTCAAGGCATCAAGGGAATGTGGTCACTGAAATCAGCTGCTGCTGATCTGTATGACACCTTCTTGGTAGTAAGCTTTATCAGTGAGACACGGATTTTGGCAATGAATCTTGAGGATGAGTTGGAAGAAACTGAGATAGAGGGTTTTTGTTCTGAAGTCCAAACTTTGTTCTGCCATGATGCTGTGTACGATCAACTTGTACAGGTAGGTTTTCTTCTTATGGCACTGCATAAATCATTGTTTTTTAAAATTTACATACATATATAGAGTTGATCGGGTTGGCCCACCTTGTTTGCCTCTTTTTTCTTTTCTTTTTTTCTCTGTTTGCCTGGATATCGAGCAATTTTTTATTTTTTTATGAAAGCCCTCTCTCTTAGATACGAAATTGATATCAAAACAGAGCCGCATGAAATGAAGAAGATCAAATCTGTGCTTTGGCATCATGTTTTTGGCCTTATTTATGCATGTAAAGAAGGTGTTCAGAAGCTTATATTATGTATGGTTTGGAGTTGATTTTGGTGAACCAATATATCTTTACTTTTCAAATTTCATCAATCCCCTGTTTCTCCTATACTATTTTTTATCTTTCATGTGTTTGTCTTTCTTCTTGTTAGAACTTCTTCAATCTTTACCACCTTCGTTTTTCTCTGTTAATGATTTAGTTCTATCCTTGTATCTTAAAAGATCTGAATTTACAGCTTCAAACTGTATATTGCGATTGCTGACTATTATTATAGTACATTTATTTGGTTCATGCTTATGTATTTTTTTAAACTCAGCCATATGACTGCCTGGGGGAACTGTCTAGGCTGGTGAAATTTGCGTAGAAGTCCGCCTACTGGTCAATGTCTAGTTGTCGATTTTTTTTTTAATGTTACTCTAACAAAATGTTTTAAAAACATCTTATGCAATAATATGATACAAATGTGGATTTAGGATAAAAAGGACTGAGAAAACGTGGAAATAATAAAAATAAATAAATAAATGTGAATGAACTTATCAGAAAAAAGTTATAGAAATAAAGAATATTTGTTAATTTTTGTGTTATTTTGAATTTTATTGTATCAAGTTAAATATATACATACATATATATGTATATATATGTACACACACACACTAGATAGAACCACGCTCAATGCACGTGATTATAACGTAATCATATTTGAGATAGTAAAATAGCTCAAGTGAAATATAAAAATAATTTGGAAATAAAATGGGGAGAGAAAAATCTAAAATGAAATTAAAAATAATTGACGGTAACTTGCAGATAAAAATACTAAATTAATTTGGTTTATGTATTTTTATAATTTGAGAGTAAATTAAGATCAATACTTTAAGTTATCATTCATCATCTGAGTACTATTTGACTATTAAATTCAAGGATAAATAAAGATTAAAACTCACTAAATCAATCCTCTCGACACTTTTCATCATCTTCAAAGTCCCTTTATGCAAAACCTTATGGAAATTCGTAATATTATTGTGATATTTGTAGCCGAACAATTGAAGAATATAATTTTATTTCGCAAAGCAATGAAAAAGGCTATTGAATCATTTATACAAGAGATTTATCATATCAAATCATATAATGTATTAGAATATAACAATAACGTTTATAAATACTATACATTTTCATATCAATAGATTTCAAAACTTGCAATAAAAATTAAATAATTATTTCTGCATGTCTTATATCTATTATTATTATTATCATTATTATTATTATTTTGTTATATATGATTGAAAAGAATACAATATACATGATAACATATTATATAGAGACCTATAAAGTTGTTCAGACACACCGTTGGAATTTATTTTCCAAACTATTAAAATTCATCGAGAGTACGTAAATAGATTTTTGTGAAAGAAAAGTGTATAAGAGGCTAAAAATAGATGAATTCTCTATTCTCTATTCTCTCCACTCTTTTTTGTTGGGTTTTAGGGAGAGATCAAAGATCTTTAGAGGAAATTGTCGATTTTTTGGCCTCTTTGAAGGCTTAGAGGTCCTTTGTGGCCTTGTATTTTTCTTTTGGTATACACTCCCCTTTTGAGCGCTGTTATAAAATTTACTTATCAAAATAAATAAATAAATAAATAAAATAGATGAAAGAGTTGATATAAAATAAGTATTACGATTTATTCATAAATTAAGAGAGAACTAAAATTTGTCAAGAGAATATATAAGAGGGTAGTAGATTTTTGTGAAAGGAAAGAACATGAGAAGCTTAAAAAAAAATAGATGAAAGAGATTGTATAGTCAATGTTAAAATTTATTTATAAATGAAATTTATACCTTTCAGTTTCTTTAAAAACTGTTTATAATATCAATTTCAATAAAATTGAAAAACTTTATATACAAGAATGTTATGAGCTTTTTATTCCAATGCGGTTTAATAAACACAACTTTTAATTTTTAATTTAGACATACGTTTGTTAATTTTTTTTTGATAAGTAAAGTGTATTAGAAAGCGTTCAAAAGGGGAACGCGTCCCAAGCTGTACAAAAAACAGAATCTATGAACTCAAAGAACTCAAGAGGTTCACAATGTCCTCAAGAGAAGAGAAATCTCTCCCCCAACCCCAACAAAAAAGAGTACAAATAATAGAAAACTTCAGCACCCCAATGGAGGACTCCTTCCCATCAAAAGATCTTCTATTCTGCTCATACGTTTATTAATTAAAATTTATTAATTAATATTGATAATTTATTATTTAAAGAAAGTGTTTAGTTAAGGATTGTAAAGCTTCTCTCAACTTAGGAAAGAATCTAGAAAATAGCTTTTACACTGCTTCATGCAGGATAGATTTTTAAATTTAATCAATCAGTCCTAGCAGTAAAGAAAACGAGTGAAAAAGAAAAAGAATTCAGAATGAAAAAGAGTTTTAGTTTATGATACTTTCCTTAAAAAAATGTGACTTTCATGTGAGTTTTTATTTGAAGAATAGGATGTATTGGGATGAAATAATTTTTCGTTAATGGAAGATGATATTCATGAATTATATATATATATATTACTTTTTTTTTATATAAAAAGAATCAATACAAGTAAATAGAAATTGGCTTTTGATGATATATATGTACACATATATATGTATATATAATACGCATATTACAAATAAAGTATATATTAATTTCTAAATGTAACTCTTAAGGAGTTTCTTAATTTCTCAGTATTCTTATTCCTAAATCTTCATGAAACATACTTCCAAAAATCTTCATGGAAGAGACTTCCAAATATAAACAAGGTATATAACGGAATCATAAATACTTCAGAGAGAATTAGGCAAACGCATTAGACAGAAAAGCAAAGCAACACAGAACAATAAACACATTATATAAGCGGGGAATGAAAAATTTTCAATTAAATATGATCAGAATGAAGTTAGACCAAAACATTTTGTCAAAATATAAATAGTATAAATAAAGCATTATAAAATAATAACTGTTCAATAAAATATCAATAAAAATATATTAAAGAGTAAGAAACAACTTCTGGCCTGTTGGAGAGTCTGGACTATGAAATGCTTCAAGATTGTCACGTTCATTGAAGTTCATTTACCAAGTCTTCCATTATCATGTTGCTCATAAATTCAAGATAAATATATATTTTGAGATAGTATATTGGTTGCATGGACGGAAGGAAGTTAGTTTAGAAAATTATTAGATTACTCTACTATTTATAGGCTATTACATACCTATTCACGAAAGGATATATCTTGTCAAGTTTTTACTGTTAACTTTTTGAAAACCAATTTGATGCACACTAATCAAAGATGTGTTTTCAACAAAAGCAGTTCAAAGGTGACCCTGAGTAAGAACATCTAATAATTTTGCATAGAAAGATGAAAATACAGAGAGCGCAAGACAGTAATTTACAGCGTTGAAATATTTGTTACTTTTTTTATATGATCAACACATACTTTCAATAGTTTTGAGGAAGCAAAGCACGTACTTCTTAATAATAATAATAATAAATATAAAACAATATAAATTGAGAGGTGATATATTTTAACAAGACAACAACTCTTCCTGAAAGAAAAGATGTTTAATATAAAAAGTGTTTGAATTTGAAAGAAACTCAAAGTATATAAAACATAAGAGTCTGGAGTTTTGTTTTTGTTTTTCTTTTTTTCTTTGCAAACCAGTGCCAGTGGTAAAAAAGTGTATTTTTAAGGAATATGTTTAAATCTTAAATGGTGCAACATTTAGGAATCAAAAGGTGTATAACAATGTAAATTGTAAATTAAAAAGTCACGTAATAATATTTTTTAATTAGATTAAGTGTTTTAAAATGTATATAAATATTATAAATTGAATACACTTTTATAGATATATAGATATATATAATTGGAAAATTTTGATGGTGATCTTTTTGTTGATTAGGTTGTTATTAAAAGTTTAGTTTCTATTCCTCTGGCATAATTGCTTACACAAGTTTTGTCTAAAAATTTAACTAGCATATTTGATTCAGATGATACTCTTGTGTAACGGGTCTGACGCATGCATTTGACTCAAAAGCTTAAATTGTTGGGTGGTACTACCTAGTGCTTACCAACTCTTGTAAAACCAAGACTCTACCCATTCGAATTCGATGTGGGGCAAGTCTTTTGTGACATTCTCCCCTATCTGAACCTACCGACGCCTTTGTTGCGGTTGGATCACCCAGCATACGTCCACCGTAACAATAAGAGGACCCAGTAACGATCGAACCTGAACACCTTCTGGTGGGCACTTGGTGTAACACCAAGAATGGAATTGGGTCGTCTCTCATACCACGTGTAATGGGTCGGGCGCTTGCCATCCGACCCAAAAGCTTAAGCTATTGGGTGGTGCTGCCTACCCGCTCTTATAAGCCAAGACTCTCCCCATCCATATCCGATGTGAGGTAAGACCCCTGTGGCACCTTAGATTGTTCAAGCAATTGCCTCGGCATGTGGATTCACCTTGGTGTTTTGGCAACTATGTTGAAAACACCAGTGTCGTTAAGGTAACATTAATTGCCTTACTTTAAAAGTTGACATAACATTAGTGTGTGTTTGTGTGTGAGTGAGAGAGAGTGAGAGTGAGAGAGAGAGAGAGAGAGAGAGAGAGAGAGAGGGCACAAATTCCTGTACCTAGATATATTTTTCTGTTGGCTTTATTTATTTATTTATTTTATTTTTATGTTATTGTTTAATAATTTGTTGTGTAGAAATTTGGGCAATTAACAATTTTGTGCTTGTAAAGGATTATGTAATTTAGTGTTCCGTTCCTAATGAACCGTCATGACAGGTTACTTCAAGCTCTGTAAGACTGGTCAGTTCAACTTCTAGAGATCTGCGTAATGAATGGAAAGCCCCATCAGGGTTCTCGATTAATGTCGCCACTGCTAATGCCACTCAGGTTCATTTCGATCTCTTTCTTTTTATGAGTGTTATTTCAAACTCTGCTTGCTCTGGTTTATTAGAATTTTTCATTAAAGAAATTTGCAGTGTCAATGCAATTGTGGCATAGGGCCAAAGATGCTTGAAACTTTTTGACCCCGATTTATAGGCCTCTTGATCGGAACAATTATTGAATTAGAAAAGGCAATAATTGTTAAACAAGATTTGCACCTCTTGCTGGTTTCTAACTATGGGTGCTGGGGATGAGAGATTCCTGAATTGTCTAAACCTAAGATGAAGCATTAATACAGATAGGAAAGCTTTATATTTTGGTGTATCCTTTGCAAAAAAAACATAATGATTAATGAAATTCTGGTATTTATAAGCTTCTGTTGCGGTTTAGATCATCAAGTGTTTTTATTTAGTGATGTTTTTGTTTTTAACTATCTCATAATTATTTAGCTTCTATTTAGATATTTGTCATCAAGGTAACTCTGATATCAAGTATGACGGTTTTCTGATCAACTGCACTCTTTATTGGTGGTTGAAAGTTAAACAGTAGGAATGTTGTTAAACTTGTTTGATTATAGTGAACATTTTCAACACTATGGAGATAGAGAGGGTGGATCTATGATCATGTTTTCTGCAATGTTGTAGTTTCTTTGGATTTGTTAATTAACACTGTTTCCTCACATCCAGTATGGTGTTTTATTATAAGAATTAAGTACTTGAATATCATATTGACTTTCTCTAACAGGTTTTATTAGCTACCGGGGGTGGCCATTTAGTTTACCTCGAAATTGGTGATGGATCATTGATAGAAGTAAAACATGCACAACTGGAGTATGAAGTCTCATGCCTCGACATAAATCCCATTGGTGAAAATCCCAACTATAGTCGGCTTGCTGCAGTTGGAATGTGGACAGATATAAGTGTGAGAATATTTTCGCTTCCCGACCTGAATCCGATTATGAAGGAGCATTTAGGAGGAGAAATAATACCTCGTTCTGTTCTTCTGTGCGCTTTTGAAGGGGTATGCTTTTTGCTTAAGCTTTTCCTCTGTCTTGTATTTATCTTGCTTCTGCTTAGGTTTTAACCAATGTTAATGTAAAATTTCCTATTGGATTCAAAATACTCTACCAGCTGTGAAATATGAAAAATGGCACACTTGCAGGACCGGGTTATCCATTAGAATGAAAATTTCATATTATTGCATCATTTGGAACCGTGACAAATTAGTGGTTGTAGCCTTTTGGCTTTGAAGGATCCAGTTAATGATGGTTCCTGAACATGCATCTGTGCCTCTTCTATCAGCATATTGCTGGTAAAGTATTTCCATGGTGGTTCACTAGTTCCTAATGCCTTTTTTTTTATGAACTTCCTGTTGTTTGTTCCCTTTCAGATATCATATTTGTTGTGTGCCCTTGGAGATGGTCATCTCTTTAACTTTTTATTGAACATGAACACTGGTGAGTTAACGGATAGAAAAAAGGTGTCTCTTGGGACCCAGCCCATAACACTCCGTACTTTCTCATCGAAAAGTACCACACATGTATTTGCTGCTTCAGATAGGCCAACTGTCATTTACAGCAGTAACAAGAAACTACTCTACAGCAATGTAAATTTGAAAGAAGTCAGTTATATGTGCCCTTTCAACTCTGCTGCTTTCCCAGACAGGTAACTTTACCCTTTACTCAAAATTTCTAAGTTTTTCCCATAATTGCCAATTGAAATGCGTCTGATTTAAATAATTTTTATATCCTTGAATAGGTGCACTCTTCAATGTGAACATAGATATTGTTGATGTTCTCTTAGTAAATTTATAACATTATTTAGCCCGTATTGTCTCCTAAATATAATTCTAGACTTGTTCTTGTGATCTTAACATATAGTTTTGCATCCAAGTCCATGTTATTGCCCATATCATAAAAATAGTACTACTAATAATTGTAGACCGGCTTTCTACAATCTTGGTCTAGTATATGGCTTACATCAAAGTCCATCCTGCATCATGCTGCCTCTTTCCATTCTCTCAATTTTATTTGTATAGGAGAAGGATGTGTAAGGAGGTTATGACTTGCTAGTTAATGTGATATATCACATTGTACCTTGTCATTTACTTTTTGGTCACTGTTTGTTCTAGGATTTGGATTTTATTTACATGGCTCCAGTTTTTCCAGGAAATTTTGCATGGCTGTGATAGCAGTGTTATCTCTAATCTCCTTGCTCTTCTTGCTATTTCCAAATTCGAGAGGCTAGGGATTTGTTGTTTGTTGGTGGTTTATCATATTTTTTTTGTGTGGTTGTTGGAGAAGAAGGGGAGGGGGGACATATCGCTTTCCAAATAACAAATATTGGTTTGAAATCCTTTGTAATGATCTAAATCGTTCGTGTGTACTTACCGACGTATTCATACTCGATATAAGCAGTTCCATTACGTAATGTTGTCTGGCACATTTCTAGCTTGCACCATATACTGCAAAGTTTTTTTTTTTTTTTTTTTTATCCTTCTTTATTTCTCTTTCTTCCATTTGCCTGCTTTTTAGAGTACAATTTGCTAGCTTATTTTGGGCTGCATGCTAGTTTGCATTGTAAATTATATTATATCTAGGCTTCAGTTGCAGGGTTAATGGAATTGTCTCCTTCCATCCAAAATGGGACAGGCCCTTTACATTATAGTCGCTTTAAATGGCTTCGAAAATAGAGCATAAGAAAATTTTTACTCGCTCAACTCAACAAATCCTTTTCCCAAGTACTTGGGTCATATTGGTTCTAAGAAAAGTTTTATGCGGGCTGACAAGCTACCTAAAGCAACCCTTGTTTTTCTGGTCTTGGGATTGGCTGTGTAAAGATAAGGCACTAAACATGACATATGCAAAGTTGATATGACAAAATACTCTCTGGTGAAAAAGAAATACATGAAGGAATCCTCTTTCAATCTGCTAATTTTGGAATTTGAGTGCAAAGTGAAGCTAAATCTCAGTAGTTTCTGTTTGAACATGAAACTTTTTCGAGATTGTCTGTTGGTGCACCTGTCTCAACCTAATCCAGTCTTTGCTTTGGACAATAACAGGGGCTGAGCGATAAAACCTTTTTTTAAAAAAAAAGATTCTTTTTGTGATTAAGAGTCTAATAAGTGGCCTTTTTTTTTTTCAACAACAGCCTTGCAATTGCAAAAGAAGGTGAACTAACAATTGGCACGATTGATGATATCCAGAAGCTTCACATTCGCTCTATCCCACTCGGGGAGCATGCACGTCGTATCTGTCATCAGGAGCAATCCCGGACCTTTGCCATATGCAGTTTAAAGTATAACCAGTCAAATACAGAAGAAACTGAAATGCACTTTATCCGCTTGTTAGACGACCAAACCTTTGAGATAATCTCAACTTACCCACTTGACCAATACGAGTATGCTTGCTCCATTCTTAGCTGCTCCTTCTCTGATGATAGTAATGTGTACTACTGTGTTGGAACTGCATATGTTATGCCGGAGGAGAATGAGCCAACCAAGGTAAAAATGTAATTTACATATATATTTTTATTCTTCAACCAAAAATAGCTTTTTTATCTGATGAATAGTAGAAATAGTGAATTCGGGGAACATGTCTTCCTTTTAGGCTAGCTGCATTTAAAGATCTCATATTCAGAAAGCAATATTGATGAAACAAGTGTAATAGCTAATAATTAATTTTCTTATTCACACTTTGAACTAAATTGCTCATGTATAACTTGCTTTCATACTTTCCTCAATATGTTCTTCCTGGGACCCTTGTCATGTGAGAAAAACCCTTGGATTTTTTCTGCTTCCCATGCTTTGCATCCTTACTAAATATCAAATTGCTTGAGATTAGTAGCTTTACCATATAGAGTTTTCTTCCTGGTCTGAAAACAGCAATGGCTGCACACTTCTTTGTTTAGGTTCATTTCTGATTGGTGGGTAAGGTACATGTTATTGAAACTAATTAATAATTGGGCAGGTGCCCAACAATGCCAACGAGAACTACTCCACTGGATTCCTTCATGTTGGACTCAGTTTAATTTTATGTAGAGTAACATTTATAACAATGATAGATGGTAACTGTTTATATCTTTATTTTGTGGTTAGCCTTTATCATTCCTCCTAGTTTTTTAGTTTAAAAAAACTCATGTTTACCTGAAAAAGAAAAGGAAACAGAAACACTTAAGGTTTACTAAGATGGGGGGTGCTTATGAGATTTATAGATCTTGGGTGATCCGTGAATGGTTAAAACACACAAACTGAATGATGACCTGTCAACAGCCGTATGTGTGTGGCGGTTCGGTTTTTTAGACTGGGAGGTTAAGTCACCTTGTATTTGCTTCTGTTTTCCTAACTAATATATTTTTAATTTTCTTATGTAGATCTGAAAATTGCAAATTCTTGACTTCTCAGACGAGTATTCTTTTTCCTTCTTTCTCTAATGACAGGGAAGAATTTTGGTATTCATAGTTGAAGATGGGAAGTTACAGCTAATTGCTGAGAAGGAAACCAAGGGGGCTGTTTACTCTCTCAATGCCTTTAATGGAAAGCTGCTTGCTGCTATCAATCAAAAGATTCAATTGTACAAATGGATGCTCCGGGATGATGGAACCCGTGAGTTGCAATCTGAATGTGGACACCATGGACACATACTTGCCCTGTATGTTCAAACTCGTGGAGATTTCATTGTTGTTGGTGATTTGATGAAATCAATCTCTTTGTTGATCTATAAGGTAAAGTAATCAATCCTCGTGAATTATATACCACATACCTACAGGAGCAGTTCTTGTTTTTTTTTTTTATACTGTAGATCTCTCTCTCTCTCTCTCTCTCTCTCTCTTTACTTTTGGTGCTTTGGACCAACTTTTTCTTGTGGGTACTTGTTTGTCGTTATGGTCGTAATTAATTTTTCATGAATTGGAGGACAAATTATATGCAATGTTTTGAAAGTCAGCCTGGATGATTGAACCAGCTGTGCTACCAATTGACCCTCTTATGGTTTGATTTTACTTCTTTAACCTTTATGTGAGAAAAACATTCAGTTTCACACGATTGTGTTCAAACCTGGTAAGTGAGAAACAATTCAGTTCCACATGGTTCATTTAAAACTGGTGGTAACTTGCGCATGTTCTTGTAACAGATAGGTCCAACTCACTTAAAAGAGACTTGTATAATGCACCTTCCAATGCCTCTTTCATGTGATTTCAAAGAGCCTTTTATGTTGCGTTTGGGATCACCGAATTGGCGCCTTAGATTTGGGATTGGGGCACCGAATTGGCGCTTGAACTTTGAACTAAATTTCCTTCAATCCCAAATCTAAGGCACCAATTCGGCATTCCCAAACGCAACATTAAAGGTCTTTGCATTTAGATCAGATCAAAGATTAGTGAGGATGGATTGTTAGATAAGGTGCCTCTCTGTGGACGATTGATCTGAACAAGTTGTACAAATCCCAAGATGTTCTCAGTAAACTAATTTATTCAGTATGTAGTATAGGAATTATCTATTCATAAATATATTAGCTGCTTCTCGGTATAGTTATTTAGTTATAAAACTTTATATATTAATGGCATAATTAGATTGAACCATTTGACATGCAGTTGACTATCAAAGTGTGAGTTATCTTATAGGTCATTCGACGATTTGGGTTTGGAAACAGTGATCATATGTAAATTTTTCTTTATTTTCCTGCTAACACCCTTCATTTGATTATTTATCTTCAGCATGAGGAGGGTGCCATCGAGGAACGAGCTCGCGACTACAATGCAAATTGGATGTCAGCTGTTGAGATTCTTGATGATGACATTTACCTTGGTGCGGAGAATAATTTCAACCTATTCACTGTCCGGAAGAATAGTGAAGGCGCCACTGATGAGGAGCGTGGCCGCCTTGAAGTGGTCGGTGAATACCACCTTGGTGAATTTGTCAATCGGTTCAGACATGGCTCTCTTGTAATGCGTTTGCCAGATTCTGATGTTGGCCAGATCCCAACCGTCATTTTCGGCACTGTTAATGGTGTCATTGGTGTCATTGCCTCCCTCCCTTATGAGCAGTACGTCTTCTTGGAGAAGCTTCAGACAAACTTGAGGAAGGTGATAAAGGGTGTAGGAGGATTGAGTCATGAGCAGTGGAGATCATTTTATAATGAGAAGAAAACGGTAGATGCTAAAAGTTTCTTGGATGGAGATCTAATTGAGTCATTCCTTGATCTTGGTCGAAGTCGAATGGAGGAGATTTCCAAGGCGATGGAAGTTTCAGTGGAGGAGCTCATGAAGAGGGTAGAAGAGTTGACAAGGTTGCACTGATAATACGGTAGACGCTCAAGAATGAGTCATGAGCAGTGGAGATCCTTTTATAATGAGAAGAAAACGGTAGATGCTAAAAATTTCTTGGTTCGGGATCTAATTGAGTCATTCCTTGATCTTGGTCGAAGTCGAATGGAAGAAATTTCCGAGGCGATGGAAGTTTCAGTGGAGTAGCTTATGAAGAGAGTAGAAGAGTTGACAAGGTTGCACTGATAATACGACCTGGTTAAAATTTTACTTCCCTTCACTTTCTTATTTGTATCATTTTTTTATTTTCTTATGTGGTCATTTTCCACAATTCTTTTGGCTTTTGGTTCGGTGTTATGGAAGCAAGCACTGCTTCATGTGTATTGTATTTTTTAAGATGCATGTTCACAAGATTAAAGTTTCATTTCGATTGCTTGTATAATCACTACTGTAGTAATTTTAGCTTAAAGTTTCATTTCAAAAATAACTTGGTGAATATATCAGTGGATTAATGCAGGGGGTTGATTCGGGGAGTAAAAAAAAAAAAAGGTCAAGGGGTTTCCATTATTCCATTTCAGGGTTGCATTTTGTACGGTGTCCTAAATGCCACTAAAATCTGGCATTTTGTAGAGTGGCATAATTGGTTGAGCTGGTGTCTGATGTTATTAAACACTTGTCTTTTTTTACCTCTAAATAGACACAAATAAAAATGTCACCAGTCATAGAAACTACCACAACAATCATGCTTCCTTTGGTGGGAAGGATGAAAGAGAAAAGGCAAAAGAAACTTTCATTTTATGCCTGCAAGGAATGGAAGAGAGGGGAAACCCTAGCACAGTATCCGTGAGGCCTTTCAGCCGTTGGATTATCTATTAGATTAGTTTCATTATCACATCCAACAACTGGGACCCTTGGAAGTACGGTACCCTTATTAAATCAAGGGTGACAATAGCTCTGTGAAATCCTATTTCGTGCAGCCCCACCTTAATCCTTCCCTTGTTTGGCAGTGAATCTCTATGTCTAACAAAAACAAAAAATAATAATAAAATAAAATAAAAACTTAAAAATGACCCACCATCCGTAAGAATTCTTCAAGCCCCAACTGCAGAGACACACAGAACATTATATAACTTTTTCCTAACCGTCTATTGTATTGATGTCCAATAAATAAGACTCTTCTACTGTACCTCCTTTTTGCAATAACAGACACACATGCCTCCATACAGTGGCTGGAACACCCGATCTTCCCTACGGGGAAGAGGGCTTGCTTGTCCCTCCTTTGTTGCAAAGAGTTTCACCAAGAACACATTAATTGCAAAATGAATTGCCCTTACCATAAATCAGATTACGGCATAAGAATTCATTTCTTACAAGTGTTCCTCACAGACTAAATCTTGTGGTGCAATCAGCACAGGCAATGTGCGATTGCCGATTTGATGTTATTACCAAGTCAATAAAAAATAAAATAAAAAATAAAATAAAAATTAGGAGAACGAGAGAGAAAGGATCAGAGAATTCTTTAATGAGAAGATGCAGTACACATCCAACAAGAACCAGAATCTATAAAAAGAACTCCACATCAGATCAAAACTAAGAGACGGCGGCCAATGTCTGCCCCATTTGAGTTTAGACCACGTTTATTACTTGTGTAATTCCAGTGCAAAAACTACTAGTATAGCTACTGCAGCTTAGTATTGTGTAATTGATGCATATAAAACTGCGTTTCGGATTGTTTGAGAATTGCCTCAATTGCTCAGTTGAACCTCTTGTCCTCTTTGCACCCTTTCTGTGGAATAGAAACCCATTTTCTTATTCCAGCTGAAAGCACTTTGATGCTTGAGACAACAAAGATACACCGCCTTAACATGTTAAAAAAGATCAGAGGCAAGCTGCATAACAAAAAGGGTAATAATGTCATCAGCCAAAGCAAGTTGAATGAGTAGATTCGAATAGTTGAATAAGGAAAGTAATCTCTCTGATTAGGGTGGTCCGGAATATAACACATGGAACCCTCCCTCCCTCTATCATTGAACACCACTGATAAAAAAAAATAAAATAAAATAAAATAAAAAGATGTATGGTTAATTTTTTGATTGGCAGGTTATGATAATCAATACCCCTATTACCAGCCCACCCTTTAACAATGCCTTTATTGTTATTTCAACACAAAATAAGCAAACACAGGTTGCATTTGATAAGACTAGACAAGACCAAAGGATTCCGGTGCATCGCACCTCCTATCATCACTGCTCTAGTGCTCTTACTTCACCCTATTTACATGCCACACTAGCAAATATTTAGACTCAAAGACTACCTTATGCGCATATAAAATTAGACCGATCTTTTGGAAATCGCACTCAAGAACATGCACACATCAGTTAAGATTACGGTGGTTTCACTGAGGCCTGGCCTAATTGCATATAAACTTGAGGTTTGACATTTTTTTGCAGCGTGTCCTCTGAGGTTTGCCCAATTTTGCAAAGACCTCCCCTCTGTACAAAAATCAATACTTTTTGTCAGAAAAAATAGTTGAAGTGACTGAAACGCCCTTTAGCTAGGTAAAAAAAGACCATCTTACCCTTATAGTGTCAAATATATATATATATATATATATATATATATATATTGTTCAAAGAGACAAAGATACTCTTTTCTCTCTCCCTCTGTTTTTCTCCCTCTACCCACCCACCACCATTGCAATTTCCAAACCCAGAAAAGAACACAAATTAATTCAAAGTTTGCTTTTTTTCAAAAAAAAAAATATATATAGACATCAAATAATTAAGTAGTAAAATTGAGCTCTAGCCCAGTAGATTGTAGTTCAACCACCACCCTTCAACCACACCACCACCTCCTTTATATTTAGTATATATGTATATATATATATATTAACACGCATAGATATAGTCAGTGTTTATCAAAAATTTGTTTAAAATCTTGAACTTGGTCATTTCAAAGAAACCAAAAGATCACCACGTTGAAAAGAAACACAATGGAACTCTACTTTTTTAGATGTCTCTATTCGATGTATTTCTACATTTGCAAGGCTATATAAATTGTGAATAAGGCTATGAAATCAGTTGAAAATATCATTATTGGCTATTTCTACACAAGTTGAATATATCACAGTATTTCATTATACTTCAAGAAAAATTAGTTTGTTGTTTAGCTGTGAAATCAAGGATACATTCATACATACATATATACACACACACACACACACACACACACACACTTAAGACAGCCGTGAGCTAAAAAAAGAAAACCCAAAGCCTCCGCCTCCGACCTACTCTCTCCTCAGCACCCCACGACAAGCCTCTGCCAATCAATCCCCAAAGAAGCCCAACAACTCAAGTCTTGCTTCAATTCCTCATTCCCTTCTCTCCATAATGATTTGGGAAATTTTCAGATCTGAAAATTTTTTAGTTGCATATATATGTATATGCAAAGTCACCGTAATGATCGCTGGATCTAGGGCAAGTTCAATGGCGGTTGGATCGCCGCCGGAGTTGATGGCGAGGTGAGCGAGCGAGCTCCATCACCACTGCTTGCGGCCACCAAATGAGTTGGTTTTATTCAGCCCAAGTCCTAGTACTGCTGCTATTTCCTCCATCTCCAAGCCCTCTCTTCCCTTCCCTTCCCCTCCAAACCCTCAAAATCCATTTTTAGATTTACCCTTTCATTCTCCGATAACCTCCAGAAACCTACCACCGTCCCCTCCACATCTCTAATTTACTCTCCAACTCCAACTCCAACCCCAACCCCACCCCCACCCCAACCCCCACCCCCACCCCCACCCCCAAACCCAACCCCACCACCACCTCCGAAACCCTCCCCATGACCTTCATTTCCCGTTTCGCTGCCAACGCAAGGGCCATTTCCCGCCCCGGCGCCAACAATTTTGCTCAACAGCGTCCCAGTTGTCGCCATTACCGTGCGTTGCATTGTGTAGTTCTAACTATAGAAGGCAAAATTATCATTTAACATGTCCAGGTATTTTGAACATATTTAACAATATAATAATGGAGGTATATGAGTCAATTCATCAAAAATCTAACAATGGGGGTCTTTGCAAATAAATGGCAAACGTCAGGTTTATTTGCAATTAGGCGAAACCTCAGGGGAGGTCATTGTAGCTTACCCTTTTTATTTATGGTACCAGTAGTCCATCAATGCTACCAAGCAGGGTAATAATAAAACCAATACCATTGATCACTTCTTATGGTAAGTGGTCTCAGTGGATATGATTACAAAAGCAGTTTTATCCAATTTGCGTAAAAGTGGGTTTCACCCACTGATTTATGACTCATGAGAGGTGCAGATCTGAAGAATCATTTTTAGTTGAGATGGTTTTTTTTTATTGTATTAGTAGTCATCAATGCTACCAAGCAGGGTATTAATAAAACCAAAACCATTGATCACTTCTTAGAGTTCATAGCCCCAAGATAGTCCCTATTTCATCTTAAAAAATACTAGCATACTAACCGTCTAACCCCAAACCAATTGATCCTCTGCTTACATTTTGTCCTTTAGTTTAGCATCTGAACCCTATATACTTTACACTTGCCATCCAAAGCAGCCAGCTCCAAAATTCCATCACCCAATCACTTTTTAAAACCTAAGAAGTCCTAAATCAAATCAACAACAGAATCTAGTAAACCTAAAGCCTAACATTGTTCTTCCACCATTTAAACCCCTTTCAAGACCTTAAACCACCACCAAACCATTCATGTGCAGCATTATTTTAAGTTTCCTGGTGTTGTCCAACATTCATGGGGTATCTTCTTTCGAGAGGAAAGAAAGAGTTGGAAATTTTGTCTCATTGAAGTTAAGTCATTCTGATTTCATTATTCATGAAGGTTGCAAAACCGATCAATCTACTTGTTCTAAAACTTTTCGATGCTTACCTAACGGAATCTGAATTGAGAGAGAGAACAAATAATCTCAATTTGAAATATAATTAAATAAAGCTCAAACAGCCCTACAATTCTATTGGCTTGGTTTGTTTATGCTCCTATATGTAAACACTATATCTTTGGAATTTCATAACAAAATTTTATAAGGCATCTGAGATATGCATTTAGGACTCAATCTGAACTTGGGGTTAAAGAGAGAGAGTTCTGTTCCAACCATAAGGCGCTAAGCTAAGTTCAAATTTTCAATATAAGAATTAAGAATAAAGCTCATGCACCAAGTCCATTGAAGATAAAAACAGAGTACTCAAGGAACTGAAACTCGTCAAGAATATCTTGTTATTAAGATAACTTTCCTCTTCCGTTAAATACTTCCCGTTTCAACAAAGTTAAAAAAATTTATCCAATTTGGGCAATAAATATTCATAGTCATATATCTTATAAGAAATTGGAACCCCTTACTTATTGCACAGTTATTGTGAAAATCTCTTTAAAACATATGTGGCATCACAGTAATATATACATATACTGTGAATCTCTCGCTTTTACATGCTTACAGTTCATTTCTACATCAAATATTACCAAGGAAAGTTAGGAGGTGCGAGGTTTTGACGAAATAAATTGTTATCCATATACCATGAAGCCTAGAAAACCCATAGCAGGGTGTCAACTCTTGCAGAAGTAAAAAGATAACCTGGAGAAGCAAAAAATACAGGGAGAATTCAAGTTGATTGAACAAAATATATTCCTTGAGTAGCATCCATTGAAGCAAGCAGTGCTAAGAAAATGTAGAAAAGGTTATAAAGTAAAGCCAAAAATTTCTTCTTTCTTTCGTTCTTCCTTCCTCTCTTTTATGTTTTATTGTTTATAAGTCACAGCAATAGTATTTCTTGCACATGCACACAACGAAAAGCTAAATTAAACATTTTACTTAACAATTTGGAAGGAAATATAGAAAATAATGAACTGTCATACTAACCTCAAGACTCAGGATGAAGAAATCCTTAAGCACCTGCTTCAGGAGATTTAGATTGTCGTCGCAACTCCTCCTCAGCATTCCTAAAGATTTGATCCCAACCACTCCCTAGACTTGTATCCAAATAATCGTAAGGGACTGCAGTCTTCAATCCAGGCCGTATTGGACATTGGCTCTCCACAATTCTGAACTCCAAATCATTCTCCTCTTCCTTGAAATTCTGCTCCAATTCTTCCCAAGTAAATAGCAGTGGCAATGTAAATAAACCCCAAGGGTTGAAATCCAAAAGCTTGACCCGTCCATCCTTTGTAACATATACATCAAAGGTGTAGTTTTCCGATTTAAATCTCAGCCTCACATTTTCCATAAAAAATTGTGCGATTACTATTTCCAGATCGTTTTTCTTCTCAAGAAGGGCAGGATAAAATCCAGTGACCTCACGTTGGGAGATTCCAATTAAAAGCTGACGTCGTACAAAGCAACGGAATTCCATCTCTGGCCGGAGGGATGGGTACCACTTCCGAAGAGCAAGGAAGAAATTTGAGGGTCTCGATATGGTATTATCAGTGCATGCATCATATGCATGACAGAGATCGTGGACTAGAGAGTCAGATGATTTTAGCAACAATGCAATCTGGCTAAATGAGGTGCATCGGAGTGTCCCAGTTGAGCTAATCCAGGCAGAGTCTTTCGGTGCACTCCAATTCAGCTTAGGGAAGACAGCACCACCAAGGGATCCAATTGATTCCTTAATCTTCATCTCAAGCTCTGGGAAAGAAGGGGGTGGTGAAGATTGTTCTGATTCATCTCCAGATCCTTCGGATACTACATAATCTTCTTCCTCTTCAGGTTTATGGATTCTGTTGGGCAGGGCATCTTCGTTTGAGATAGAAAGAGGAAGAAGGAAGGGGCCAGAATCATCAAGAAGGTACTGGACAAAGGATTCTGGAAGTTCATGAATCAAAGTTTGTATGGAGACGGATTTGAATTTCGGGTACCACTCCTGAATCTGGCATCGGTTAACCTCTTCCTGCATTTTATTTGAAGAATAAAATTTGTTCTTTCTGTAGCAAAGTGGCAGTTCCTTTCTTCAAAAAGCTGCAGATATCACAATTAGACAAAGTAACAACCTCTGCTCCAAACATTTAACTTACAAATTTCTACAAAACCCTACTGATTCAAATTTTAATCAAACATACCAAGGGGGAATAAAAGAAATTAATTAGCAAAAATTGATATATCAACTATTAAATTCATACAAGTGAAAAGATCCTAAAGAGAGTGATATTATAATTACTTATCAAAAAAAATATCGTTATCTTATAAGGATGTTCAAAATTCCTAGTTAACTAAGGAGCTTTGACAAGCAACAAGAATGATATCAAAAAGATAAAACCTAACATGAAGAAAGATAAATACATAAATATATAAAAATAATACAAATAATAACATCGCAACAGTGTCCAACAGTCCAATTTAGATTAATTGCAGCTCAGGTTATGAATGAGCATAACCAATTAACCTATTAAAATTCAGTATAATCCATACAGAATTACACTTGAAGACAACTACTTTAAGTGAGATCTCAAATGAAAAGAAGCAGAGAGATGGAGAGAAACTGACCTGGTGACTCCTCGACCCCTCGGTTGTCGCCGTCCGCCGATCGCCGCCGTGTGGGGGGCTTTTGGTGCCCTAAAAGTTCGTTGGTATGGTCGTGTGCAACAGAGAATCGTCGACCGCTTATATTAGAGCCGGGAAACAGAGCCCTAAACAAGTCTATATACAGGGCCGGGCTCGACCCTTAAGCAACATAGGCGGGTCGCCTAACTCCCAGCCAAGCAAGCCCTAAAAGTATCATTTTCTTAATTGTATTAAAAAAATTAAAAAATTTATTTCCTTCATCAGTTAAATTCTAAAATTATTATTTCAATTTTTAAACATTTTTATTTCCTTACATTATTAGATAGTTGAGCTAATAAGAAGACCCCTAAAATTATTATTTTCTTGTTTTATTAAACTTCTTAAAAATTTTATTTCAAATTATTATTTTATCTTTCTAAGTTACTAACATTTTTCTTTCTTTATATTATTAATTCCAACTAATTATAACTATTTCAATACTACAAGGCCCTAAAATTATTACTATATTTTATTATTGCTATTATTATTATTATTTACAATATATATCGGGTTAACAATATATTATAGACTTCTTTATTTTATTATATTAGTAGCTAAAGAATTTGATTAATTCTAAAATTTTCATTTCACTTTCTATCAAAATTCACAAATCTATCCTAATATAATTTTTTTTCTCCTCTCCTTCTTCCACGTTTCAATTGAATATATATTTAACTAACAGTTAAGCTGAACAACAAACTAATACACTAATTGTGAAAATTAATTTTTAAATAATTTAAAAATAATACAATAGTGAAAAAAAAAATATTATTCACTTAGGTTTGTGTTGCCCTACTCTCAAACGGTTTCATTTAAATAAAAGGCCTCAAATTATAGTGAGTCGCTCCTATATATATATTTCTGTCCAACTGCCCGATTTAAAAGATCTTGTAAACTTTAAGAGCGGACGGTCGACGGCCGGTTGGAGGTTCATTGGCCGGCCCAGTTGAACACAGAGTGGCATACAAAGTTACAAACCAATTTTTTCAAATAAATCTCCAACTCATTCCACAACTGTTCATGATTTGAAAAAAAAAAAAAAAAAAAAAAAAAAAAAAAAAAATCCTTAATTAAGAATTATTGAGAAAATAATTTTGTTTTAAAACAAATAAATTGAAAGTGATTTGTTTTCTCATCATTCAGAAAAGATTAAAGTACTGAAATAAATAATAATAATAATAATAATAACTATATCAAAAAATTTAAAACCCAATATACCGAATTAATCTCGAATATCCAATTTAAATGTGGGAATTTCACTTTTGAAAGTGATTAAAAATAGGAAAGAAAATAATTATGCTAATTAACACTCAAAGTTATGTAACCAATAATTAAGTGGTGAGTATGTTGCAAATCCTCACTAGTAAGGACCTAAGTAATTAAAATGCAAATACATATCTTCAGGAATTAGTTAGAAAAAAAAAAAAAAAAAATACCCTTCATTTGAGATTAAAACAAGAATGATGTTTTAAAACTCTTAATATCTAATGATTTCCTTTGTCAAAGCCATTTGCCTTTAAGAGTATATTTAACTAGGGATGAGTGAAATTATTATCGTAAAAAAAATAATAATAATAAATATATATATATAGACACTTAATATGGAGCCTTTTATTTTGAAAGCATATAATATATTTTTGAAGAATAATCTCCTCTTTTATCCCTATGGTAGCTCAATTGGCGAAAGACTTTTGAGACTAGTGACTTGTATAAACCATTGAGAGCATCAAACTTCGATCTTAGAACTAATTGAATATCAAATCATGAATATATTACATGAAATGAATATACCTTTGTTTTGGTCAATAAAAGTACTTTTTATTGCAGAGTAATGCTACGTGTTTTTTTTTCCTTTTCACTTTAATAAGCAAAATTCCAAGGGTTCGTTTGGTTAGACGAAAATAGATGGTGGAAAGTGAAAGTAAAAGAAAGTGAAGTGAAGGAAAAGAAAATTTAGTTTCCATGGTGCATTTGGTTAAAAATATTATGTTGTTAGTTTGGATAGAATGAAAGAGAAAAGAAAATGATTGTACTTGACAAAATTGCCCCTATAATTTTAAATACTAAAAATATAAATAAATTTGAGTAAAATTAATTCATGCATCAAATTTTGTTGTTGATAATAATATTCTGAACTTGTATGAGACACTAAGTCACCTGAATTACTTTAGTCAAATATATATATATAACATGAAAATTTTTCAAGAAAGTTGTGAGAAAATATTATGTTGTTAGTTTGGATAGAATGAAAGAGAAAAGAAAATGATCGTACTTGACAAAATTGCCCTTATAATTTTAAATACTAAAAATATAAATAAATTTGAGTAAAATTAATTCATGCATCAAATTTTGTTGTTGATAATAATATTCTGAACTTGTATGAGACACTAAGTCACCTGAATTACTTTAGTCAAATATATATATATATATATATATATGATTTAGACATTACAATTTATAAAGTAATTGTAAGGACTTTGATGAAATCGAATAAGATTAGAATTGTTCCACTATATGTTTATTTATATTAGAATAATCAATACCAATAAAATTTTACATATAACAACCAAGTTTATATATATATATATGATTTAGACATTACAATTTATATAGTAATGGTAAGGACTTTGATGAAATCGAATAAGATTAGGATTGTTCCACTGTATGTTTGTTTATATTAGAATAATTAATACTAATAGAATTTTACATATAACAACTAAGTTTACGAGGATATAACTATACAATATTTTATATTTTTCTTTTTAATAAACGTATATATTTCTTAAAACTTATAATAACTTTAGTATCCAAATTCTAAAATCTAGTTGATATGTATATATACATATTGTAAATTAATATAATGCACTCAAAAAAATACCCACCATAATATGTCATATGTATATACCTATTTGAAAAAAAAAAAAAAAAAAAATGCTAAAATAAGATCTCCCCAATTTCATGAGTTCATTTACTTTTGAAAAAAAAAAAAAAAAAAATGTCTCTCAAAAAAGGAGAAAAAGATAAAGGAAACCCAACTAATAATTAGGGGTATAATAGGAATTTAAAATGTAACTTCACAACTTTCTCGAGAAACAAAAATTTTGGCGTGTTTTATACAAGAATCGTTTTAGAGAAAATTATCTACTTTCGGAAATCCCAGTTTCCTGAAAACTTTCCGTTTCTTCCTAAACAAACGCACAAAAAGTTTAAATATTTTTGGATTCTTTTTTTCCTTTCTTGCTAGTTCTATCTAACCAAACGAACCCCAAGAGGTAGGTAGAAACAGCATGACTTATCTCTTTGGACTATAGATATTTAAGTTCTATAATTCTAAAAATGAAATGAGTCATTAACTAACTTTGGTTAATTAGTGGAGCAGAACCATTAAGAACTTGCTCACAAAAATTAAATGAGAAAAACTCGAGAAATAAACAAATTGTTAAACTGACTTGAAGATGCGAAGTACACAGAGGTTGTGTGTGTGTCAGTGTGTGTGTGAGAGAGAGTACAAAACTACTATCAGAATCCTACTTCCACCTTTCATATTGATAAACACCGTAATTTCTTTGTAGTCAGCCACAAAGCATTAAGATTAAACATAAAATTGCACCAACATTGTGTGTTAAATTCTATAGAACTTGGCACCATAGACCAATATGCCAACCTAAGCCCTGAAACAAGATTTAACTACTTCCCTGCTTCTTCCCATGAACTAACATGTTCAACACGTTGGGCTTAACGATGCATCACAACGGTCAGCTCGATCAGCTGGTCTGGCACGGAGAAGAATAGCCTCAAAGCTCTGGCTACAAGTGCTTGAAAACCCCATCAATGACTGGAAGACATTGGGGAGGCTTGTTTTTAGGTTATTTAGTGTCATAGCCCGGGTAACCTGCACCGAGTTGATATACTTGGCCTTCTCATCATCTACCTGCTTTCTCAAGACCCCAATTTTAGCACGCTTAACAGATAAAGGATGCTTTGGGCCCAAAACAGCTTGTGCATCTTCAATGGAAATGCTTCCCTCGAACTTTATCTCCATTTCAGCTACTGACTTTAACTCCCTTTGCAATTTTTTCTCAAGCTTTTCAGATTTTTTCTGCAGATTGAGTTCCTCTTGCTGCTGCAACATTATGGAGTGGATAACTGCCAAAAGGTTCTTAATGGCTTCGGAAGCTACCTGTAATTACACCAGACCGTCACATTGTTTTTCCCATGTAGCAAGTAAATCGAACTGAATCAAGATATATCACAATTAGAATGACTATAGTCCAAATCAATAGTTCTATCATTTGACTTCATTCCTGTGAGATTGGTTTAGAGAGGATGGAGTTGTAAAATATTCGACAGATGCCATTAAGATCATCCATATATATGCTTTTACAGCTTAGAGTTCTTCTAGAAGAGTAATCTCGTATGATGATATTTAGGCTCTCTATAGCCTCATACATATGTACTCGAACCAACTGACGTAATTCTCCAATTTTCACTTCCTAGAGGCCCATAAACTTTAAAAGGGTGTGGAATTCGCATGGACATTGAGCCAATCCAATGTGCTTTACATAATGCAGAAGTTGGTTAATTAACATGCAGGCATCACCATAATCACTAATACAAAATTGAATTTAGGTCTTCTCTTTGCAATTCTGACATACTCACATATACACAAACCCATGGGACTTGAATACAGCACCTCCCACTTGAGAGGGCAGGAGCCGCAGGAGACACCACTCAAGCTAACAGCTGTAGTAGAAACTAGAGCAGTTTAAAATCTGAATTATCCTTGAACTCAAACAAGCATGAAAGAAAAATAAAGAGAATTATTAAATGGTAGTCAAAAACAACAAACTAATTTCAAATCCTGTGTAACAGACTACGGACTCATTTGATTTAAGTCGAATGTCTAAATGCACTACATCAACCTAACCTTCCCCTAGCCAGCTTGTTAACCCGACACATAAACCCTTCCCTAGTTCATTCAGATGCCACACAGGCACACATGAATTCTGATATAATAGCACCTCTCTACTCAACATGCAAACTATACAATAACGTTGATTCTTTTGGTAGAGGACGTCAGGATAAGAGATGAGGAAGATGCTAGGACCTGGAATGACTATGCATAGATCACTCCTATCCTTTTTCAGCGTCGCTCCTATGAATGAAATCCACTCGTTAGAGGCTATAAAAAAGCTTTATGAGCAGGAGAACAACGAAGGAGGTCGACTATGAACGAAATATTTTGATGTTTTTGGACTTTTGTCGATTGTTTTATCATATGTAATACACTGTTGAGCTCTATTCTGTAACCACCCTAGCATAGGTCGTCTGATTTCTGATCTCGAACTCACAATTTTCATCAATTAATAAATTCAGTAACAAGGAAATACTATAAAAATGTATCTAGATACAGATACGAAGTTAGGCATAAAGGGGCAACAGTAATCTTTTTTTCAAAATGAAAGAAAACCATTCTTGCATTTGAGCTACTTTATAATCATATTTAAATTCTAATTAAGCTAAGAAATATATGTCTACCCATCATATCGTGTTACAAGGTAAACACATATTGCATAACCATTCCCATTTTTATTTCTACATACCACAATCAACGCTCTAAGTCACATTCATCTCGAATCCTACAGCTAGAAATATGACAAGTGCAGGACCACTATAAGATGGGACTGATGATTACAATAAATGACAGTGAGTTGAGATTCCTGGATCTTTCAATTTGAAAACTTCCTCCATTTCCAGAATATTTCCAATGACTATTATGAGGTGAGGAGTCCAAAAACAACTATCATAACTTTTTCCAGTGAAGATTTTTTTTGTTTCTTTTATTTGTAAACCCTCTATGACCACCCCATGTGTCAATCCATGCATGCATGAGCCAGCTCCAAATGTTTATTTCAAATTTTATGATCAGAAAAGAATCAAGAGTGAACTACATGTATGGGTATGGCATACATTGGTCATATTAAAATCGGCCATTATGATTTTATGTGATTAATGAATTTTGATGAGAAAGAGCATCAAAATTTGATAGCGAAAGTACCTTATCAGGTAACCTGTCAAGGGCAAGCTGCCATTCTTCACAAAGGGTACACAATGCAGATGAACTAACACTTAGTTGACAGTCATCCATAAGGCAGGCAGTGAGTTGGATCCACCTATAAACGGTTCTTACATACTCCTGTTGAGATTTAATGAGTTTGCAGAAGATGATGTACCAGAAATTGACCTCAGTTTTCAGCTGAGCGGCAGCATGGCGATGGTAGTCAGTAGTTGGGTCCATGCTTTGTTGATCACTTATATGATTCAGTTGCTGAGAAATATGATTCTGAACTTGATGACACTGGTACATTGTCCTCCACACATGCATAAGCCTGGAGAAGTATTCATCATATAAGTAAGAAAAGTATTGAGAAGTAAACTAAAACATTATATTTTTCCTTTTTTTCCCATCCAGGAGCAAGATTTGGCATTTACATCTTCACCCCCACCCACCAAATAAATAAATAAAGAGAAAGAAAGAAAAAAAACAAAACAAGAAGGAATCCACTCAAAAAAGTTTCATCTTTCAGTAAAGGAAAAAAGAATCTGGGCATTCCAGATCACAAAATCTTGAGTGCATCTATTAATACTCTCGCTTTCCTATATGCTCACCAAACAACAATCTACAATTGCAACTTGGTTGAAAGTAGCTGACCAACTTTACAGTTAGCCCAACAGTCCTTCATGCCCAAATATTGCAAAGGACAATGAAAATCGGGAAAATAGAATTAACAAATGCAGTAATGTTGTTAGATGCACTACCACCACTATCACACTTACCGAAACAGATGGATAAAAAAATTCACAATGATTGTGCTAATCAATGCATGATGTGAAAAACAGTAAAAACAACCCACAAGTCAGGGGATGTCATTTCCTTTGTTTTGGAGATCTAGAGAAACTATTTACTGAAAAAGAGTATCAATTTTGTTGTGCCTAAACAATAATTTGGGGGGAGTTATCAAGAATAATCCACTATATCTACTCCATATGCACTAAACTATGATTTATTCAAAATAATATTTCAATGTCCAAAACTTTACCCAGAAATTAATGCAACCAGCTGAGGATGCAGCTCATCATCTATGAGCTTCAAAATTGATGAACAGGTCCTACTAATTGATTGCTGCAGATGAATAATATCTGATTGCAAAGTCTCAACACTTAATCGAGTTTTCTCAGTCTTGGTCCAATCATGATTTTCATCTTCTTCTTTTTGTAGTAGTAAAGATTTCCTTTCATGCTCGAATTTGGTAACCTCTTCCTCCTTCAATACAGGATACAATAAAAGTGAGGACAAATTCAGAAAAGGAGAAGGGGAAACAAAAAGAAAAAAGATCACCACGTTAGTAATTTATCTCCCACACTTAGATGATGCTGGAACATTGCCACTAGGCCCAATTATTTCTTAACCATCTCAGGAAGGAACATATATTTGGGGCACAAGGCCTAAAAGTTATGCCAAAATTAAGGATATCGAGATCTTCAGAACATTTGATCCTATTCACATTTGAGCTCAAAGTCACTACAAAGTGGGGGTCCCATCAATATGGAAGCAACACACATCAAGGAACCTCAATTTGCAAGGACTCTGGACATTATCAAAAGGCTTGGCTAGACCGATAATCAAACCTGTGTTTCTGTTGTTTGCATGAGAAGCAGTGATACAGGCAAAGATAGGTCCTAAAACTACATAAAATCATAAAATGTCTGAAAGATCAAAGTGGAGCTATAAGATCTTAAAATTTAGGGTAAATTACATTCATGTCCCTGGAGGTTTGGGCAAATATCACGGTGATAGACCGATCAAGCTTTATTATTCTGACATCCCCTAAATCCAGTCTCCGGACACCGGAAAGTGGCTTTTAATATGAAAAGTCAATTATGCCCTTTAAATTCTAATAATATATTATATGCAAATATATATTTGAATTAAAAGTGTATTATGCCCTTGATGATAGTTGTCTCAGGCTGCCAGTTGTAAAATCAAGTGCAACTCTGATGATAGTTGGGTGCATGTGATTTTACAACTGGCAGCCTCACACAACTATCATCATGTGTATAATAAACTTTTAATTTGAATATCTATATATGCATATAATATATTATTATAATTTAAAAGGCATGATTGAATTTTCATATTAAAAGTCATTTCTGGTGGCCGGAGACCAGATTTAGGGGAGGTCAGAGTAATAAAGCTTGATCGATCTATCCCCGTGATATTTGCCCAAACCTCAAGGGAGGTGAGTGTAATATACCCTATTATCTGACAATAAGTTCAAAGGTGAAGGAAAAAAAAAAATATATGAATTATGTTAAGTTTCACATTGCAGCGACAAACAATATTATATTCATTATATCTATTTTGATAAAAGGATCAACACAAATAGCAAAGAACTAAAAGAAGTATAAAAGGGAGGGAGGGAGAGAGAGAGAGACAAACATACAAACAAGCAGGAGATGTCCTCAAGAAAGAAAAAGACAAAGTATCTAGGAATGGTATCACCTACAAAAATTCTTATCAAGAGAGTAACACTGATAAAACATTCTTCAGTTATGGCACCCTTTTGACTAAGTACTTTAGTTGGGCTACCAAGATTTCCCACATTGTTACAACTTCTCGACATTCCTTTATACCCTTCCACAAACCCACCCCATAAGAACTTCTCACCTTTCTCGATTTCTAAAACCCTTCTCAGTGCTCTCACTACCAAAAATCTCCTCCAGTACTCTCCTTTGGAACAATTAGCCTTTAAAGCATACCTCCAAAGCCACATCCCAACAACGCTTGTTAAATTGCCTAGACTCCCTAATGCTGAATGTACTGCCATTGAGAGGCAAATAAAGTCTTTCGAATCCTTTAAATGATATTTAAATTCCTCCAGCCAAACTTCTCATGGAAATACTCTTTAGAGCTTTTTCGCCATTGAGGCCAAAATGGTGAAAATAGACATGAAGTTAGTTGAAAGACTAGAATTTCCGGAATTGAATTGGTGCTTTTGACTAAAGGGGCTTCAACCCCTTACAATCAAAAACAAAATGAGCAGTTTCACCGATATAGCCTCAAAGGAAAATACAGTGGAAACACCAGGATGGATAGGAAAAGGCAACAGAACTTTTCGTCTTTGAGGTGGTCATCTTTCTCAAAAATGTCATTGCCACATGATTCCACGGGACAATTCTTATTAAAATTTCTATTGACAAATCAACTTTCTTGCATATTTAGTTTTCTGTGACTATGAATCGAGATATATTTATTTAATTTTTCTATAGAATTGAAGGTGATGTTGTTTAAGTTGTTGACTGATCCCACTCAACAAAATCCTAACTCTGTCCCTGCACTAAGTAGCTTACTTATACCATTCAGATACCATAATTACCTTCAACTGCTTGTAGAGCTTCTGCTCCTCAGCGTATAGTTTTGCAAGTGTGATGCAATGAGCTCCAGGTGTGCAGGGTTCAATGTGACCATATAACTCTAAGGCATCTCTTGTTAACTGATACGATTTAGAAGACCAACTCCATGCCAATGCACTAAAGACCTTCGAAGAATTGTACCTCTTCCCTGTAAATGATACAATTTCTATAAGCTCCAATACGAAACAAAACAATATGTGATCCTGCATCGATACACATCTAAATAAATATATACATACATATATATATATATATATATATATATATATATATATATAGTGTGTGTGTGAGAGAGAGAGAGAGAGAGTGTGTGAGAGAGTGTTTATAGCATAGATCATCTACACTATACCAGAAAAGACTTAACGAGCTGCTCATGAACCATATATCACAGAAGGTCAACCTAAACAGCAATGTGTGATTCTTAGATCTCAATATCAAAAGCAATCGCATAAAATTGTCACAACCATCTTGCGAATCACATTTCCCCTTTGGTCGATCAGCCTTTCTTCAGCTTGAGTAAGAATCAGATGGCAAATTCTGGGCACGGACGATAAAAAAGGATGGGTGCATCCAAACTCCAGGCAAGTCTCTCTCAATCGACAATCAGCCATTGAGAAGGCAAAGGAGCAATGAAACCCTTGGTCATATGGAAATTTCAATTTTGTAGTTGGATTGAACTGAATTTGAGTTGAGTTGTATTTATGTATTAAATAAGAGTGCAAACCGAAAATAAAGGCATGCTACAGTCCAAGTGATCATCAACACACGCTAGCTGTATTCTTTGCCAAATTGGGGTCCACGATTGGAGAAAAACCAGGGCAGCAATTCAAACACCAATCACCTCAGGTGGCTTTACCTGACCATGGTAGAATGCATTCGATCATGCGAACGTAGAATAAGATTCCTTACATGTGGCCACCTTGTGGGCGGATGTGCCGTGGGCGGGTGCAAGAGGCACTAGCAGGCTACCACACTGGGCAAGCTACAGTGACACAATCTCACATCGTCTGGGTGTGAAAAAGGGAAGTACTATATATGTAGGATTTGTACACTTCAATTGGTATGAGGCCTTTTGGGATAAAACTCAAGAGTAAAATCGTGCGGGTTTGGGCCCAAAGCGGACAATATCATACCATGTGGTGGAGTGGGTCATTACAAATAGTATTAGAACCTAAACAAAGTGTTGCCAAAGGGGACGTTGGGGCCCTGGGGGGGTGATTGTGGCGACCTTGTGGGCGGGTGTGCCGTGGGCGGGTGCAAGAGGCACTGGCAAGCTACCACACTGGACGGGGTCAAAAGGGGAAGTGCTATATATGTAGGATTTGTACACTCCAATTAATATGAGGCCTTTGGGGATAAAATTCAAGAGCAAAATCGTGCGGGTTCGAGCCCAAAGCAGACAATATCATACCATGTAGTGGAGTGGGTCGTTACATTACATAATGTGTTTTATGTCCCCGTAGTTAACAAACTTATTAATTAGCAATCTTAAAAATAAATTAGGTTTATATATGAATAACGTAGCTGTTATATAACCTTATTCAATTAACGAAGCAACTAATTCTCCTACCCAAAATGGTTGAATTGATTATTTTTTACAAATAGAGCCCAACTCAACAAATAATCCCAGCAGCCTAGGGTCACTTACTACATGAATGCTTATTCGCCATTCATCTCCATATATGGCCATACCCTCCATTAAATTCTTGGCAATTATGTTTCCACCTCATCAATCCACATTCTAGCTAGCCTCCTCATGTCCTTTGGTTCCTTCAACTTAAAACAAATTACTGCTTTGTCAAAGCTGAGCCAACTTAGACTTTTATGAACTCAGTGCCATCTCTAACCCCTCGCAAATGCATTCTTTCTTATTCCATCTTTTACGAAAAATAAAAAATATTATTATCAAGAAAAGTAAAAACTGTGGCAGCAACTAAAAGAATACTTGCCATGAGAAACTTGGAAAATAATGTAAGGGGTAGATAAGAATCATGATTTTGTTGGGATGGATTATTATTGTAGTGTTATAGATGAAGGCTTGAAGCTCACAAAGATGAGATCACCAAAGCTTCAAAGCATACTGAAACCACCAAGACCAACCGAACACTCCTGTAAAGTTTAAAGTTAACTTATTGTGAAACATTTGCTTTAAATCAAACTGGTAATGAAATCCCGTGGACACAAATTTGAAGCTCTGACGGCCCCAACATCTCAAGGTAAATCCCACATTTATCAAAATTTGCTATACATATCGGAACATTCCTTCACAATAACAAACTAAACTTCCATATTATTTCAGAGACACTTCGGTAAGAATAGAGAGAGGGAAAGAGGAAGACAGACAGAGAGCAATGCTACAGTAAGGGAAAAACAAATAAAAACATTAGAATACAAAATAATCCTTGGTATGCTATTTCCCAAAAACAGTTGTGTATGCTGAAATTAAACCAAGTGGAGCCAAGTATTCAGCTACTCAAGCTCGGCTTGGCGATTATTGGAGGTCAAACAAGCTGAAAATTTTGATATTTGAACTTGGCTCAGTCAAGTGTGAGGAAGCTCAAGCTCATCTCATTTGACTTCTTTAGCCAAGCTTGAGCTTAATCATGAGTTTGAGATCAAGATTAATAGAAAAAGTAAGTTGCACGCCCTGCAACCCATATTAAAGGAACCCCATTCACAAGCCCTGACAAGCCAATTCACAAGTACGAGGCTAACTAAGACAAGACAGAGATTGGAAGCCCTGCGTGCCATGTTAAAGGAGCCTCGCTCACGAGCTCCAGCAAGCCTATTCACGGGCTATAACAAGCCTATTAATGGGCATGTTTACAAGGCTAACAAGACAAACTAAAGTTCGTGTGGACACGGCTTATTTGATAAACAAACCTGATAATGCTGTTCAATGTTGGCTCATTTCTTAGTAAACAAACACAAGCCAGGCTCGAGTGTTTATGAATAGATCGATTCTTTTGCAAACCTACAATTAACAAAGGAAAATGACTGTTTTAATTGTAGCTCAGAAGCTATGACTTATCCAGCATGGGTCATAGAGTTACCAAGACGAGGGATTGGGTATCAAACGTCTCAGGTGCTGGTCTTCTTCGGTTTATACGAAGCACATGGTTTGGGGGTGATTGCTTACATCTGCATAGATTAATCTCGATCTAGCCAAGTGATTGCTTTTATCCGTAGAGATTAATATCAACTCTAAATGGATTAGAGGCAGGCATAACCAGGGGGGAAAATTCTGGGCAAAACTTCCTATATGGTACAAGGACAAATACAGGAATGAACAGCGACCATCGCGGCCTTATGACACAATAGTTGTACAACAATGACAATTACATGGATGAACTATATGAGCATGCTCCCAGATAAAGGAAAGCACGATCATACAAAAGGGTACAAGAAAGGAACTGGGAATAAAATAACAGAAAATTATTGGTACTGATGCGAAACTCCTTAATTACAAGTTTCCACCACTAAAGCTCAAGTATGAAGATTAACTGAGCATATAAAGAACTAGATTAACAAGTGCAAGAAAAAAATAATAATAATAATAATAATAATAATAATTCTTAATAGGGAAAGTAGCATTTACTCTTATTCTCTTTGGAATTCTGAAAATGGAATGTGTCACCCAGGTTGATGTCCATAAAAACAGCTATGTCCCTTCCACCAGCTGATGCTTTCAGGAAGTAATCATCTAACTCCTTAACAATTCCAGCAAAGGTCTTTTTGCTCCTCCAGACTACCATGGCCATATCAGTAGTGTCTTTAGTGTGCCAGCTCACCATTGATGAATTATCATCAACCAACTCAACAGTCTTTCGCTTCTCTGGAATCACATTTACAACATTATTGATGACAACTTCCGCTTCTTGATTATCATCCACGAACTCAGAACTAGCCTCCACCCAATTTTCCTCCTCATCCGGCTCCACCGTTTCACTTTTCTTCTCAAAATAGGGCGAAGGAGGACAAAAAGGATCCCAAAAATCCCATGTTGAGCTTGGAATTGGAGGTGGTGGTGGTGTGCACTCATTATCCTCATCAATCTCTACTATTTCCTCTTGGGCAACTGCCACCTTTTGGTCATCATAGAACTTCCTCAAATCAGGGCTAAAAACGGGTGGTGGTGGAGGGGAAGGAGGCAAAGGTGGAGGCGGTGAGGGAGGCAATGCAAGGCCAAAAGGGGTAGTTTCTAGTTCCAGTGACTCTGATTCTGTTAACTGGCGAAGGGTTACTCCAGTATTTTTCAGTGATCTCAAATAAGCCATCTGCGCATTAGCAAATTCTCCTCTCAATCCAACCAATTGTTTCATTAACCTCTTCCTCTCCTTGCAATTCTGCATCCTCTCTTCTACATCTATTTTCGATAAAATACAACCCATTTCTTCAGTATGGAGATCGGTAAACAAAGAGTTTCACCTGCGTTAGTTAACTTTGTATTTCCAATAGAGGAAATAAACCCAAATGCAGGTTCAAGTTCATGTATTGCTGTATCATATAGATCGAAGGAAATAAACCGCAATGCAGGTTAAATTTCATGTATTGCTGTATCATATAGATCGAACTGGTAAAAATAGCTAATCCTCGTGAAATTCAAATGCAAACAATTTTTTTGGATTTTTGTTCAGCTCAAATGATCTTCATACCCAAAGAACACAACCAGAAGATACTCCACACCCTAAATCCACCGGTTATTACAGTCACTTCCTCTCCTACTCCAGCTAATTCCAACAAAACCAACAAGTTTCAGTTTCAAGTCTGCAGAAAACTCATAAACCCAACAAATTTGTAACAAATATTACCATGTGAATGGGATTTCAACCCCGGCCTTTTCCCAACTTCATTCAGCCAAACGGGTCTCTATAACCGAAAAAAAAAAATCAAATACCTAATTCACAAATCCATTAAGCTGTTCCAAAAAAATTGCATGGGTGCGCTTCTTTTTCCGATTTTTCAAATTTCACTAACCCAAATTAGCCTTCACATCAAAAATCAACAAAACAAAACCCTTAGCCACTCCACACTCCAAATCTACTGTTCTTACACTACATGCTTTGTCATATTTGGTGAGCCAAAAACTCAACCAAAGACAAGAACAACACTAAGCAATAGTACCCACTTTCAAAATCTCCATATTATACGACCAAAAAAACCTTTAAAAAATAATTAATAAAAAAACCCAAATGGGTCTGCTAAAAACTCAAACTGTTCCCTTTGAAGTCACCAAAAAAACAAATGGTGCTGACATAAAAACTGTCACAGACAGATTAAAGAAATTAACTGCAAATGCTCCTGAGCTAATAATGTATATTTGTTCTGCACCAAAAAGAAAGAACTCACTGGGGTTTGGGAAGATCAAAACATACGAAGCACAGAATGGGGAATCTTGAAGAAAAGGTTCGAAGAACAGTATCACTCAAGTCCGCTCTCTGTTCTCGACCTCGTGCCATACAAAAGGAGAACACCAACAGATACAGACAGAGAAAATGTAGAGAGAGAAAGTGAGCAGAGAGAGAGGAGAGGAGGGAGGGCGTGAGCTCGAAACCCAAGAGCATGAGAAGAATCCAAAGCTCACTGAAAGGGAAGGCGCATTATAGCAGGAACCAACATTTTTTAGTAATAAATAAATCAGGTTTGTTCGGTTCATGAGTCATCAGTGGTCGCGCACAGTACTCGGTAGTAAAAGCAGCGGACTATGATCTGTAATATGCGCACGTTAGTGGGCATGGGAACACATGTTAGAAACCGCAGAAGTGTCGTTCGTTACCAATCACAATCACCCCAGTAAATTGGTAAATAAATTACAAGAGTCCAAATAAGTTGCCCCACCCATTAACTATGTACCAGTAAATTGCAAGTGTTGGATTTTTCTTTTTTCTTTTTTCTTTTTTTAAAGCATCGAATAAGTGTGTTATATTTTTAAATTTAAAATTAAAAGAATTTTAATTTTAAATTTGTAGTCAAATATTTTCAATTTCAAATTTAAGTCACACAAAATAGAAGGTAAATTTTTTTCAACACCTTGATTTTACATTTTAACCCAAATTCAACATATAGGTTGCAAAACACAATTCTAAGTATATTAAAATAAATTTAAAAATTAATATACTTAAATATATTTAAGTAGTTGTTTTTTTGCTAAAAAAAATAAATAATTTATTATTGACGGATATTGTACTCTCTTAATTAAGAAAGAAAAGTTGGGATGAACTGAGTAGTTGTTACAAGGGGTACTTGTCCCACATCAGATTTAGATGGGTAGTGAAATGGGTATAAATGGTTGGGTATGCAGTACTATCCAATTGTTTAAGTTTTTGAGTAAATGGGCAAGCATCCACCCCTTATAGTTGGTGTCAAAGTCACAAGAATTCAGTTTTTGATCCGTTATTATGCCAAGTGCCCAACTAGAGGCTAGGACATTGCGAGTTCGGTTGATAAAAAATGTTACAAGTGGTGTTTATCCTACGTCAGATCAGGATGGGTAGTGAAATAGGTATAAATGAGTAAATATGATACAACGCTACCTAATAGCTATTTGGTCAAGATACTTCCCAAAGTCACTTGAGAGTCCAAAGTTCAACTCACTCTATTCCTTTTTTATTAAAAATAAGAGTTAAAGTGAAAAGGTAATATAAGCAGATTTTGCCCTTTTGATTTTGTTCACCGTTGCCAAAAAAATAAAAATAAAATTGTTCACAGCTAAAATAAATGAAATATATATTGCAAATTACTAATGTTAATGGAAGTTTATATAATTATGTTATGCCTCTTATCCAAAGATTTAATCATTTTTCAAAAACTATTGTAAAAAAATAACTTAAACATGTTTCATAAAACAATTTTTACCAAATATTTTGTAGTCTGATGGTATTTTCTCACCTTTTAAAAAAAAAAAAAAAAATTTGATGCACATAAAATATATATATATCCTTTGATGTAGTATTGGTGTTCTTACATTGAGTTCAGGATTTGGATGGCTACCAATTTCCAAAATTCAAATTATTTTTAATATTTATGAAACATAAGAATGGTGAGCTCAACTTTTATAATTATATACTCCACAACTCTTAATATATTGTGCCATTAAAATTTAAGAAAAATATAGGATTAAAATCATAAAACATCTCTTTACTTTCAAAATCGTGCATAAAACTCTCAATAGAATAAAAAAAATATATGCGAACTAATAAAATTTATCAAGTTACTCGTTAAATACGCTATATAATGTCAAATTTTACCTTACTATTTAATATTAAATTAAAAACTACAATTTTTATTTTAAAATTACAAAAATACCCTTATCTTTTCCCAAGCACTTTGAATGCCAAAATTGATTTAATAGCTTTTACTTAATATTTTTTTAAGCACTTAGGGTAGGTTTTTAGTAATTTACATTGGGTTAGGACAGAAAGCATCAAACCAAATACATTGAATCCTAGGAGGCCAAACGAAGTGAGATATTTTGACTATGGAAGTAGACGAATTTAGGTGCATAAGTAAGCAATTAAAGTAAGCAAAACTAAACTCCTCTGCCTTTCATTTTCATGTGAAATTCACGTCTGTACTACGTTGCATCATTATTGACTAAGCTTTTTGGCTGGCTGGATTTGACTTGTATACCTTTTTAAAGTTGAAGATGATAAGAGAAAGCAAAAGATGTTATCAAAATCTGAATCCATCTTTACCATAGAAGCTCATAATGCAATCTCTCCTCCATTAATGTAGTGGAGTGATTGCTGAACTCACGATGCACTCCCACATATATATATATATATATATATATATATATATATAGTTCACTTTGTAAACTGTGCACTAATTGTGCCAACTCTGTCGTATATAGTTCACTTTATAAACTGTGCACTAATTGTGCCAACTCTGTCGTGATCTTGAGATTTAATTAACTAACCTTAATTATCAACGAAGACCTTTTTGGGTTGGTGTAAATTATTTGATCAGACATCATGTTCTTCTTTCCACGGATCAAAATTATTTCATGTTACATTTGTTCACGGTTCGTTGTTGTGGGGGAATTTATTATCAATGCTGAAATTTGCTACTATAATGACAAAACTTCACATGTTTGAATTTCTCTACTATTTGTTTACAGGTGAATTTCACCGTTATAAAAGCAAAATTTATCATTAACAATGGTGAAATTTACACGTAGTAAAAAATGACAGAAAAATATATATAATGGCAGAAAAATATATATAATGGCGAAAAAATATGACCGGCTAGCATCATAAACTACCAGACTACAATAAACTGACACTAAAATCCATGGCTCTGAAGCAAGAGTACCTAAAAATGGTTCATTGGGTCATGACTGGTTACTAATTTAAGAAGTCACCATTAATTGTAAAAGAATATAATGGAGATTTTGGTGTTGGCTATACATATATAAATTATTAAAAAAAAAAAAATTAAAAAAAAAAAAAAACTCAAACTTAGATATAATTGGAATTGCAGTTGTGCAAGACTTATAGAGTGAGTATATTTATGACATTATGAATTTGATGTTGTATTTCCAATACCATGTGATTTTTTAACAGTCAACACATTTCAACAAATTTTATATTTCATTATAAGTTACATATGATAAATTTTTTTGTCCTAATTTACAAAAAATGCTTTGGAGTCCGATTCGGGCTCTCTAAACACTTGCTCACTTGCTTGTGTGATAAGCCCGTGTCGATTCGAAATAGGTAAAATGGCTGAATTTTTCATAAAAAGTTTATTATTCCATTTGTATTGTATGTTTGTAAAGTGGGAACTATAATTACAAATTATTTTAGTTATTCATTAGAATCTAGCTCAAATAACTCCTAACACAACCAATGATCATGTATTTGTTAATGGAATTCTCACGCATGGGTTATGGGTTGAGAATTTTTGGTATCCACATTGGACCAAGCTGTTGGACAACATGGATTTTGGGCCTTTTTTTATTGGGGATATAGTCTAAGCTTGTAGTTTATTTTTTGTTGGGGTAATTTGCACTCACACCCCTTGAGGTTTGAGTCAACGCCACTTAGTAGACGTGTACTAGTTTACATAGTTAACTCCTGAGGTTTCAAAAGTTTTCATACACACCCTCTCTACTCGAGAAAATGACTATTTTAACCTTTGACTTGGTCAAAAAATATATAAAAAGTATAAATTACTAATATAACCCTGTAAACTAAATTTTGAATGACCAAAATAACCTTCATTTTACATTCTCTCTAGACCTATACAATACATTTATCCTCCTATACCCTCTCTATCAATTATATACACCACCCACCATACCCTCTCTGTCTCTATCCTTCCATACTAGCGATACCCTCTCTATTTTATGTGGTGGATAAATGTATTAATGGATGTTGCGGTGGTGAGTGGGGAGAAAAAGGGGCGACCAATGGTGGTGGTAATGTTGTTTATTGGCAACGATGGTGCAGTGGCGATGGTGGTTGGCGACGGAGATGATGGTTCGGGCGGCTCTCTTTCTCTCTCATCATTTTCTCTGGTGTTGATCGTGTTGGATGGCCAAGATCCAGTCCGCTACCGCTACTACCGCCTATTACGAGAAACCCCAAATCAAACCCAAATTTTAACCCCATATGTAAACCCAAGCTTTGTCGCTTTTAAGTTGCTGCTCCGCCACCTCGCGAGGCCAAGATTCGGCTAGTTTGTTGCCGCCAGCCACCCAATTGAACCCATTGATCACCATGTTTGCTATATGTAAGTCCACTAATTTAATTATTCACATATAGATGAGTTAATTTCATAAGCGACGAGATCAAAGGCAAAAGCCACCACCGCATTGTCGATATTCTTTTCGCTGCCGATAATTTCACCATGGGTAGGGTTAGATCGGGCTCAATGGTCCAATAACTTGCTCGAGCAATGTATGGATGTGACCGATTGTTTTCTTTGACCTTGCGGCGGTGTGCGTGTGTGGTGGTGGGTGTGGTATTGTGTGGGTGTGGCGTGTTTGATGTGCAGTGTTGTGTGGTTATAGCAGTGTGGCGGCATCCGGTGGTTGTGGCATGTTTATTTGTGGCGCGCGTACAGTGGTTATAGCGATGGGTGTGGCATGTTTGGTTGTGGCAGTGTGCTGTGGTTGTGGCGGTTTGTGGGTGTGTCGGTGTGGAGGTGGTGGGTGAAAGGGGATTACAAAATATTGATTAGGGTTATTTTTGTCAATTAATAGGTTCAAGGGTAAATATGTGACTTTTGAAACCTCAGGGGGTGTTAATATAAATTAGTGCGTTGACAGTCTGTTGAGTGGCATTGACCTAAATCTCATGGGGTGTGAGTGCAATTTACCTTTTTTGTTGTTTTGTTTTGTATTTTTTTGGGCACATGGGGCTTGGCCTATAATGCTAAATAAGTGTCTATCTTTCCATTTTATTTGTCTCAAAATAAGTATTTCATTTGAAAAATCAAATGTACTATTTTTTGAAATATTAACAATTTAACATTCTTACATTGAACCTATAAAAAGTAAACCATCATATCATTGCGGACTCATTAAGGGTAAATTTGATAATTCGTTTACTATTAATTAAAAAAAAAAAAAAAACAAAACAAAACAAATTGACAATCAATTTCTTAAAAAGTTATATTCC